TGAGCATCCATCGCTGTCGAAAAATCTCGTCTAACTGATTTTCCCGCTGTTTCAGAAGCCCGTGCTTATTTTAAAAAGTAGGCGGAGTTTTATGTGTATGGCCCAAAAGGGGTTTTCAAACTGATTCTTATTAAAACTATTTTTAAAGTGAACAAACAAAAATGTATGAAATATACAATTTTAAACAGCAAAAGATGCGATAGGTTAAACAGATATTCCTTATTTTTTGGATAGTTTTTCGGTTTATCGTAAATTATACCATAGTTTTCTGTTGAAACCCCTCGGCAACCGCACTCGACTTCGTCTCGTGAGGTTATTGCCGGTGGTTTCAACAAAAGCTATGGTATAATTTACGAAATACCGCAAAACTATCCAAAAGATATGAAATATCTATAACTTATAAAGTGTTGTTTTCATTTTTTATGTCAACTGTTTGTGCGCTTTTATAATTAAAACGTTGTGTACTTGTTAAAACTAAGCAGTAATCCGCCTTTACAAATATAAAACTTTATAAACTACTCAAAATACAATGCAATCTTTGAACTGAACATTGCAGTGTTTATAATCGTATGGTTTGTTCCTTGTTTTGATATCTTCGTGCATGATGTAAGTGTTTTATTTTTGTTTAAATGCTAATTTTATATTTGTATGTTCATTTCGAATTATTGTTATTTCGGTGCATTAATCATTGTTGATATCACTGTATAAACCAAATCCCAAAAATGTCATATTCGTATTGTTCATTCTTCGCTACACAAATTTTGTCACGACCGAGTAAGCATAAAAAACCTACAATTTGGTTAGTAGTGGTTACTGATTGTCTGTCATGCTAAATTCAGATTGTTAATATATGTAAGTGCTCCAATAGTGAATATGTGGACAATAGCATAATGATTCTCGAAATAGTTTATGAAAAATATCATGTCATTAAAAAACTGTCATTCGTGAAATGTTTATGAAAATAAAACCTGTCACTTTTTTTTAAACACATTCTTAATTAATCAGATATTTCAATGGGCAAAATATATGAAAAATGCGACAAAATTTGTTTACCGATTGTCAAGTTTTCTTTCCTTGTCCATGATGTTCCGATGTTTTTTTCTTATAGAATGCATATTTACCAGATATTGTTTAATATTACGTCTAGGATTTCAACGTTTGTATTATTTTCAGATTACTAAAACTTTATTACAGGCAAACATTTATCTTAATTTGGTCATGTGTTTTATTAAATATATCACAAATATTATTTGATAATTATTGAATTGCAATTCCTGCTGCTGAAATCCTATATCTATGCTATAACCATCCTTTTGTTCCGATATATCTTGGTATTAACATGAATTCACTGCACTTTAGTTCGAAACAATACTTTAAAGTGTTGCTTGGTATAAATTAAGATGTTGGATTTTCTCCTTTAAATATTGTTTCACATTTTGGCAAACAGGGATCTTCAATAGATCGCTTTACCCTACATGTTTTTCTCGTACTTGAAATTTGTGCGGAAACCTATTATTGTCTAATCTTTTCCTTTTTGGTATTCGGATAGTTATCGTATCGCAATTGCACAACAAATTCACACCATTTATTCAAGTGCAATTGCATAATTTTTACACTGAAAATGTTGGATTAAAATCAAGCAATACTGAAGCACTTGCTCCTGGGTTGATGTGTTTCGGCAACTGAAAACCAACTGGGATCGGTACCGATCTTTCGATGTTTCAGTGCGCACGACACATGTACATGAGATAATCCTCACCGTGTATACTCTAGGTTAAATGTTTGAGAAGTCAAACAAATAAAACGGTTATCAGGATCAAAATTATAAACAGGAAAAAAATCACGCATTTCAAAAACATTCTGTACTTATTGTTTACTTCTACGTCATTTGGTCTCTGATTAAAGGTTGTCTCATTGGTAACCATATCAAATCTTCTCATTATCAAATAGAATCAAATAATGGCTTGATGTTGGACGTAAAACCTTTCAAGGCTTCAATTACTTTTTCAAAAAGAGAATTTGGTGTATTTTGTAGATGTTATACGTTTTATTTCGACGATTTAGACCTTGTATAGTAGCCTATAGCTTATTGGAGATAGTATATTGACCCTAGATGTCTTTTGGTTGTATGTGTCGTCGGGTTAATCTCTCTAGAAGCATGTTTAATATTTATCTGTATTCATAATGTTTATAATTTTGAACTCTGTTTAACCAAATATGCTTTGGGCCAGCATGAACTTTTGCAATCGATTAGCGTCCGACGTCGGTCGTCTTTTGTTGTCAGTGAATTCTCTTAGGCAACGCATGTAGGTTAACTTGACACATAACAAGGCCGACATCACCAGTAGACTCTTTATAGTAATGATTGCCCTTTAATAGTGAATTTTACAGATCTAAAGTTTTGGCGTATTTTTCCATGATTTTGAAACAATTACAGATTTAGAAAAATTTGAACAAGCAAAATATCAATAAAGATCAAGTAAATTTCTTTTTGCCCTTAAAACCCGATTTATACAATTCTGCTGTGTTGTTTTGCTGATATCTTGAAAACTATGCGAGGAGATTTTTAAATTGCAAATATGATTAACGAGATCCGCAAAAGATATTTACTGACCGAATTGGTTAGTCGACTCCTAATATGAAATTCCGTCATTGAAGGCAATTTTCACATATGTTTTGCGTTTTGGATTATAATCTTAAAAATAGGTTACAGTGTGAGAAATTGTAAACAGCAAACATGATAAGCAATATATAAAATCAATAACTGAAATCGTCAGTCGAATCATTGAAGGAGGTATATACAAATTGCCTTTAAGTAAGGATTTTTTTTTATCTTGTGTTTATATTTGTTCAGAGATTCGTAAAATAACACGTAAGTTCAAATTTGACAATTTTAGTTTCGAAATTTTTAGGTTGAACATCTACCTTAAACCTTTGTGTTAAACCTTTGGTCATTATCATTTAATACTTGATATTTACCTTACTCAGAGAATCAATATTTATATTTAGGACTAAAAATGTTTATTACAATTAATGAAAATAATACATTATCTATTTGGCTCGTCCGCAGCGTTTTTCTGGATTACACATCCATCAGAAACATTCAAACCCAAAACACTGAAGGTCAATGACGTATAGGTAAATGAATATTTAATCAGCTATATAACAAATAGGACCAACTCAGAAGCCCAATCCATTTAAGGTCCGGATTTCTTAGGGAGCTGCTAACCCATTTCTGAATTTATATACACAGAATTTTATTTTATTCAATTTGATAATTCGTGTCAGTACAGAGGCACCTACTACCGATCTTATCATACCCCCGGGAACTATCAGTCTAGAGGCAGTGTTAAAAGAAATACTACTTTACATACTCGGTGCGTCATAATAGCTTATCTGGGTTGATCTTAATCAGGAACGTTGAACTATTCAAATTTGAAAGCCAAGGGTGAATAAATACATGTATCTAAATATATGTATGACTATATGAGACTCAGATAGAATAACCAAGCCCTCCTATGGTAATGTTTGACCCAGTGAATTACCAAAAATGGACTTCCCCTATTTTATTTACCTTTTGAGTTCGTTCGTTTTTATTTTGCCTTGGAGTTTCGTATTATTGTTAATACGTTTTTTTACAGCATTTGTTTGTTTGTTGATAGTTTCTGCATTTGCCAATATTATTTAATTTATTATTATATAATGAATAATAATATTTCCTTCGGCTGTGGAGTTTTTAGCTGTATAGACTTCTAATAATATTTTCCAGGCACAGTGACCTCCTTGATGAGTTTTCGAGTAATGCATTTTATATAAAGTTACTTGAGGTAGCTAGGGTAAACTCGGAATGTGTTCAAATTAACTTTACTCAACAAGACTTAAAAATATAAAACAAATTTTTTTTTTTAATAAATGTGTCTAATTTATGTCTTCCACATAATGCAAAATATGTAGTTGTATTTTGTTTAAAAATTGTGTTACAGTAAGGAATTGTGTTGTACCCCTTAACACTTACCACTGCCCCGGATCAAGGAGGGAGGGAAGAGTTGGGTTTGGGTTGAGCGCCTGCTTACATGATTAGCCCCGTCACATTTTGTATGTGACTGTTCCAAGTCAGGAGCCCTTTATTCAATTTATTCAATGAAAGTAGTTTTGTTGCCGTAAATCATAGTTTTTGTTCCATTATTGTTTTGAACATATATCCGGTTTCTGGTTTTCTTGTTTGAATAGTTTTACATTTATCAATGCGAGTATAGGTTTACTCATTTTTTAATGCAGTACGGTGACCTAAAGTTGATATACGTCATTTGGTCTCTGTTGGAGTTGCAATCATACCACTTCTTCTTATTTTTAGATATTTTACCTGTGGATTTATAACAGGGCATTTTAAATCAGTTCTTTCTACACTGTTGGGTGTGTGTGTGTGTGTGTGGAAAGGGTTGAGGAAGTGGAAAGCATAACTTTGTGATGCTCGGAAGTCCGAGTAGAAGGGAAAACATGCCTTCAATATCCCACGCTTTTGTTGTAAACGATATTCTACATAGAATTTATGTAGATGCCAAAATCAATTGATAAACATGATGTATTTATAATTTTAAATAGCAAACTAGCTACTGCTTAAATCCATCTTGCTTATTTGCATAAAAGTTTTTACAATGGAAAAAATAAGATATTGTGTATCAAATCATGAAACTACGCGCCTATGAAAACAAACATTGCTGGTCCGCATCTCATTAGACATTAGACCGGGAGCAATCAACCTCACTACAAGTTCAAGATGTATCTAGCCCCAATTTGAGCTGAAATATTTCCTAGATGCCAATTACAACACATCTGTGCATTAAAAACACAACTTCGGGGTCATATCAATAAGCCAATTATAATATCTGGTTAAGAAATAAATACTTTCATAACATATTTCACAGATGTTTTTCACCATTAAAAAGATTGATGTATACAATTTCCGCAACTGTATCTACCACACAAAAGTATAGATATAAAAAATTTAAGATCATTTATTAAAAAAAAACAAAAAAGAAATGAACATGTTTTATAAAACACATTATGTATAAATATGAAACAAAAAAATTTGAAAATAAGAATTTACACACTATTATTTTAAATCTATTTCATGCCTAAAATGTATATTCTGTGAAGTTATTTTTGTTCATGAATATTAAATCTTTGAATGACTAGTTGAACGTAACCAACATATTTATTTGCTTGCAAAACGAATTTTGTTAACTTATTTTTTAAACCTACAGTTACTAATGGATAACCAAAAAAAATCCCAAAAGAAATCTTATCACAAATATTGTTATCAGTGCAAATTTATAAAATAAAACGTAGATATTTCGTCGTTACCCAAAATGTGCAAAAAACGCCTGGCCAACCGATTAGCGTGTAGAAAGCAAATATATTGACATAACCTGCTCGAAATTATAGCTCGATGCACGAATTTAACCTTCGTACAAAAAGTTTTTGGACTAAATTCACAAAAAAAAAAGAACCGAGAATATATCCACGTCTATAGTATATTCAAATAAATTCGTTTAGAGTTTAAATACATGATATCATATTTAATTTGTTTTGCATAAAGGAAACCCAGAACAATAAAAAAAAAACATATGACAAACCAATTCCAGTGAAAGCAAAACAAAGCGACATCAACTCAACTTAAACCGCAAAAAAAAACAAATCCTTACTCAACAAAACAAGCCATAAAATAAAGTTATCGATAAAATTGAAAGTAGATATATTCAGCAAATATGACATACTTTAAAAACAAAAACATCTACAAATATATTTAAGATAAATAAATTGAAATGTAAGTACAATGATATACTATTATTACTATGTAACCCTCTAAGTGTACAGAAACATCTACAATTCTTCGACTCCACAAAATCTATACTTTTTGCAAACATGTTTTTAAAAATGTAAGTAGATATATTCTATATTTATGAAATGCTTTCCTTACAAAAATAATATACTTTTAGTACATTGACGTGCTAGACACGTGATAACAAAATACATAAGAAAGAAAAAAACAAACATATGCCATTGCATAATAAAAAGATATTAGAAGATTCATTTCACGCATAAGACATACATTGTCTTTGATTCAATTGTGTTTTCCGTTGTCATTGTGCATCAAACCCATCAACATCTACAAGAATAAATAGATAGTTATTACCGTTATTATTATTATTTTCATTATTAAAATAACTTTTTTTATTAAAAGAATAATTATTAATAATATACATGTAACTTCATTTCGATTAATGTTAAAAGGAATTGAATATTTCTTCGTAATTCTCTATATCCAAATTAAATAAGTTTCAACGAACAAGTTTATATAGTCATGATAGTTGGGTGCGCGAAATGCTCCATGTTATCTGATTCAAAATAACTAGAATATTTTGTTACCAGCAATGTACACTGGGGCATTATATATTTTGAATTAGTAGTAATCTATTTAGTCAGGCCCTTTTCAACTGACTTTTACAATTTGTTTATGTGTGCTTCAAAACTGTCTCAGATTATTAAAGGGAGGTAGAGCGCCGACATATTTTTAACGTGCCTTTCACAAGCCATGAGACCGTCAATCAGTGGTTTGTCGTTGGTTACTTGCTGTCATAATTGTGTTTCTTTATTGCAGAAGTAGAAAACTTGTTGGTTTCCTCTTTTGCATTGCTGTACATTTTGTCATCCTGTGTACTTCTTTGGATTGCTGTACGGTTTGGCTTTTTTCTCAATGTATAATGCTGTTTGGTAACCTGTAGTTGTTCATATCTTTTCGTTTGGTCTTTACAAATAGTTGACTGATTGGCCAACACATCACATCTCCTCGTGTTGAATATGTTTTGATGCAGTCATGTCGGTCAATTATTAATCTGTTGCGTAGTGTTTGAAAACTGTTGCTAGTCCTTCGTCTTTGCTCCTTTTTGTCATTATATTGTGTGTATGACTTCGATGAGTGGTTTTAATTTTGTGTCATAAAGTATTTAAATAAAAAAGAAATAACACTTCATTTGTTTCGCGCTTCTGAAGCGGTTTCTCGGGATTTACCTTCAATAAGAAACCTAAACATTTGAAAACCAGTGATGTGTTAATACATAGAAACGTACACAGCTATATAATCAAAAGGGACCTTAAACAATTAACGAAATTCATCTAAGGTAACATAACTTTGCCAGAGAGACTTCGAACCTTAGCTTCTAAATTATTTCTCAATTAAGAAACATGAAATTCTAGAATAGCTGTTATAAATCATGTCAGTACCGAAGCACTGACTACTGGGCTGGTGAAAACATCGGAGAATAACAGGCCACCAGTAATTGTATCGATCGAGTGCTAAAAAAAGAAAATATCACTTTATAATTTCGAGTTACCTTTTAGATACAGATGAATCGATCTAACCATCTTTTTTTCCTTTTTTCATGAGATTTCTTCTTCTTCTATAGCAATAAATTGAACCATAAATAACATTTAAAATTTTATACTAAAACACAGTGCCCTTCATTAATATACAACTGCCGTTTGCAAGCATAATATCAATTATTTTACAGCATAATACGCTTCTTCCCGATGGCAAGATTTTTTAGATTTTTCCCAGAGACTACAAAACAGTAAAAAGTGAAATAACAAAAATACCGAACTCCAAGTAAAATTCAAAATGGAAAGTCCCTTATCAAATGGCAACATCAAAAGCTCAAACACATCAAACGAATGGAAAACAACTGTAATATTCCTAACTTGGTACAGGCATTTCCTTATGCAGAAAATGGTGGATGAAACCTGGTTTAAAAGCTAACTAAACCTCTCACTTGTATGACAGTCATATGGAATTCCATTATATTGACAAAAATGTGTGAGCAAAACAAACAGACATAAAAGGTAAAATTTTCAAAAATTGGGGTACAGCAGTCCACATTGTGTTATAATCTTAATCACTATAAAAACAAATAACTATTTCAACAAAGAAAAACAAAATGGCATAAATACAAATATATAGACAAAGTACATAAGCAAAAATGAAAGACAAGAATACAAAAATAACCATAGCACAATAACACAACGGCGGGATGTATGAATACCTAACCACGCCAAAAGTATATACCAAAAATGGACTAAACAGTAACGGTAAAAAATATACAAAGACAAATAAAAAGGTCACTATAACATGTTTTTAAGATAAATAACGTCAGTACCTTGAATCTTTACTTCAGACCATCATGTTTTAATTGTGAAGTTGATACGAAATATTTATGAACAAGGTCTTGGTAGCTTCCGATAACTTTTTTAGTAAAACGACGAGACGTCCTTTGACATAACCCGGGTACATCAACTTTCTGCTCAGACACTGGCGACGTTTCATAAAGTCTGAGTAGTAGCTTCAAGCTCTTGAATACCGAATGAGATGTGAAATGTATATCCCTTATGCAGGTGAAGTTGGTATATTGTTGCTGAGGTGGTGGAAATTTATAATTTCAAATGAAAATCGTCTTGTTTGTCATAGATTCTGGTATTGAGATGACCACTTATGTCAAATTCGAGGTATAAGTCTAAAAATGAGGTGGAGAAAGCCGTGCCTGTTTTTGTTTTTGTTTTTTTTTTATTTTCTAGTTATGGAGGATATATTAATGGAACCCAATCAAAAAAGTTTGGATTATTAATGGAAAGAACATCATCAATATATATAATGTGAAATTAAATGAACTGGCTTCTTTGATCTTCTTGTTTTTGAAGTGTATGAAGGAACTCCGACTCATATGAACATATGAAGAGGTCGGCAAGGAGAGGCGCACAGTTCGTTCCCATAGGAATGCCGACAATTTGTTGAAAAAGTCTACCTCCAAATTCAACAAGCAAATGTTGTTCTACACTCTTCAATTACTCCAGAGTGTTTATTTTGTTAGAAAGAAATTAAGTAAATTACGAAAAAGAAGTTCAAACGCCTTAATAAAATATAAATGACATTTTTCAAATAATACAACTGGCATCAGAGAATCTAATTTTTTATGTGGAAATGCAAAATATTTTGAATTACCGTTTAATACGTAAAAAAAGTAAACCCATGTATTCACCTTTCTATTTGTTTCATGGTCTATAAATGATTGCTTATCGAAAAAAGATAAAAAAAAAAAGATTATACAGATAATCATATACCCTTTTCATTAACTAGAAATCTTAAAAGATTAAATAGTGTATAATGAATACACAAATCCAGGTAAATGAACAGAAAATTGAAACCACGATTTTTAACATTCACAAATGACATGGTTAACTAATGGTGTGTTTCTCAATACAAAGATTATTAAAATTACAACGGAAACACAATATACAATTGATATCACATGTGAACTATTTTAATAAATGTAAATTACAAATAAAATTAAAACTGGTGATTGAAAATAAATGCAACAAGAAACAGTAACGTAATTAGCAAAACGGCCAAGTAATGTAATCTTTCAAAATATAATAGTGGAACAATTACTGTAAATTGAGCAATAATTGCGTGCACTAAGTATTGTGATTATTGGACAATCGACACGTCTGCTAAATACACTCTAGATTTTATAAGTTACATGTACAAACTCTGGAAACGACGCCAGGATCAAAGAATTTATCAATGACACATTTCAGGAATTTAAATTACGAAAGAGCTTATTTATTGACTAGTACATATTGCTACTCCTTGTATTTGTGTTTGCTCTTAAAAAAAATACCAACCTTTGAATTTTTTTGGCTTCACCATATATCTTTTTATGTTCTTTAGCTCTTCCAAAATCTATCGTATGAAATAAAAACAAATTTGATCATACACTATTCATTGACAGATATTTCACTTAAAATGAAAGTTTTTAACATATCAATTAAAAATTATTATTATAACATAGAATATGTATTAACCAAGTTTTTTATCTGCAAACTAATAACGAGGACAATATTAACATTTTTTTTTCATTTCCCCACCGCGGATTTTGACGTATTTTACCGCTACTGAATGCCTGAATTGCAATCACAAAAATTACATTCTAGTAAGCTAAATTATTTTGAATGTATTCAAATGCACGCAGATGATTTATTTTAAAGAAAATTCCTATCCTGGCTTGTACTAGATATTGCATCGAGCCGAAATGCAAATATAAAAGTTCTTATGTTTGAGGTAGATATTTTCGATTTTTTTTTCTTGACAGTCCAAAAAAATGATAGCACTCATTTGTTTAAAATATTATGATTATTATACTGATATTTTCAACGCAGTAAAGCAAACATTTTAAAGACAACAAATATATGTATGTATTCTGGTTTTTTCCAGCGAAATAATCAACGCGTGGACAGTGAAAATACATATTTTCCGGTTTATTCAATTTACTTTAGAGGCAAAATATTAGCTTACTTTACATTTATTCCAAATATATATAGTTTCTATGTATTTTCGCTTAAAATCAGAGACTCCCGGGTTAATATTCTCTATCTGTTTTACATATTTTACGCAATGTAACATTCGGTGAAATACAATAGGTTACTGTATATCAGTATGTTATAAATATATGACTTCTATGGATTGTTCCCTGAAATTAGGGAGATAATCAACACTTTCGGTTTAGAAAACGTAACCTCGTGTGTCAAATGTAAGGGTACAATCAACAGTTTCTTATAAAATACTAGGGTTAATTCCAAGAATAAAACTAGGGATGGAGGGATATCCTTGTTTATTTACGTTTTTGCGGAAAAGGAATCATGTTTTTGTATTTGATAGTAAAAAGCAGTTAACCATATTTCAATTCAAATATGTTCAACGATCAAAATATTTATATTGTGAGGATTTGGGTATCAAAAGCGAACTCCAGCAGCAATTTCTTTTTTTTTTTCCGTTCCAGATTTTTTTCAAATGAGCACTTTTGTGTTACACATTTCGGAAAAAGCAACGAAGATTATTTTTTAATTGCTTTTCTTGGAAATCATAATAAACAACATTTCTCTACTATTTTTATATATCTATATTTATCTGGTTTTGACATAATTTCTTTTAAGAACAGGCATAGAAAAATAGGAATGTTTCATTTAGATAGCCAATCCGACGCTGATCCCAAAAGAATAGGTATAAGTTATACTTTTTCAGTAAATTAGTGAAATAAGCAGCCACTGTGGGTTTCTTCAAAGGCACATTCGATCGCATTTCAAGGGTTTCTTAACACTGGTTTACAAAATGTACGCTTTCCATGTATATGTGGTATACTTGAGAAAATTGTCGAGTCTGGCTTCATATAAAATCACCGATTTCAAAATAATAAGGTTTTATGTTCTTTTCTTTAAAAAAAAAAGGGAAATGATTTGCAAGACGATGTCATAAAATAATGTTTATATATGCTTAAAAAAAATGATTTCCAGGTACTTTTCCGTTAGATTAGTGTAAAAATGACTAGTTTACTTAATATCAAATGCGGTTGACAAATTTTCAGACTAAATGTACACTATTGTTATCTTTAAAGCCCAAACATTTTTCCAACAGTTCCTTTTTACATATCTATTATAGTGAAAGAGTTCACAGGCCAAAGTAAAAATTAAGAACATGATTGGGATATTAATTTTTTTTATCTTTTTCTATTTAATAGTCTTATTATCTCAAATGATACGATCCTGGTCTACAGATGACCCATCAGTGACACTCAGATAAAAACAAAGTTGGAACAAACGCCAAATAGAGCATTAAAACCATAAATTACGTAAGATTTTGCCAAATTCAGTTAAAGAAATCTATTCTTGGTGTCAGAAATCTTCAGTATTTCGAAAAATACAAAGTTTTGTAAATAGTTCATTTATGATTATGACCATCTCAATGTTAATGAATGTCAACACCGAAGTGCTGACTACTGGGCTGGTGATAAACTCTTGGAGGAAGCCACCACCATCAGTGGCATCGACCCAGTGGATGTAAAAAAACTCATCATATAGATCAGGATTAAAAGTGTGTAGCCAGACGCGCGTTGTTTGCTAGAAAAGACTCATCAGTGACGCTCGGATAAAAAAGTCGAAAAAAAACGAAGTTGAGGAGCATTGAGGACCAGAAATTTAGAACGGTTTTGCCAAAAAAAAAAGCTCAGGTAATTCCTTACGGGGGTAAAACATCCTTCGTATTTCGAAAAATTCAAAGATTTTTAAACAGTCAATTTGTAATTTATGACCATATCAATGATATTTCATGTCAACACAGAAGTGCTGACCTAAGATGGATATGACTTCTGTTCGGTCCGTATAGTCGTATATATTATCACTTATTCAAGTATATATACATCCTTGGCTTTCAATATTTGTATGCGTTCATCCAGTAATGCGCTTCGCTGTAATATAACAGGCTGTCTATTTCAACAACATCACTTACATAGAAACAATATGTTGAAGAAGTGGATAACGACATATGTTATTATTTTGTATTTTCAAGAATTTGTGTTACAAAGAGGACACTATTTGTATAACTTTCCTTTCCGTGATACAATTTATTTCATTGCTAAAAGGCCAACCTTCTTTGATATTAAATTAAGATGAGCTGTTACCTCGTCGTGCTGCTTTTCAAGCTTACTGTTCTGAATTTCCATTTGCTTTTGAAGTATCTACATGGAAGAAATAAATATTACATCAATGGTTGTTAACATTACATTATATGGTGCAACTGTCCCAGATGGGGTTTTCTTCTTCTCGTCCTCTGTTAATTCACAGAAAAACCAGGGGATTCAAGTGATAAATTTCATAAAGAAATTTAAGTGAGCACATAACGTGATACAAAATTGCTCATCTTTAGATATCCGGATAAAGTCGGACGGTTAAAGTCTTTGTAATTTAAAAACGCGTCTATTGGAAGAATCTATTGGAAATTCTAAGGCCGGTTAAAGTCTTTGTAATTTAATAACGCGTATATTAGAAGAATCTATTGGAAATTCTAAGGCCAAACGGACTTCAATCATTGAATCGAGGATTTAGTTAAATTAAGGAAATTCACATTAGTTGTACGTGTAAACATGCAAATTTTGGTCAAGCTATTTTTTTTAATCGAAAGAAATCTAACATTGATAAAAATAAACTGCATTTTAGTGCTATAAGGGAATGTTGAACTTTTTTCATTATGATTTGTTGGTTGGCTATCTAATTCATAGTATACCCAGAATGTGCCCATATACCCATTTTTTTTTTCTTTATTCAATGCAACTCTTTGGGATACTATCAAATAGTGTGTAGTATTGGCAAACATCACAAGAGTCGTCAAACATACACACACACGAACACATTCTACATTGTATTTCCACAGTTCTGCACTCTTATAATTTATATAATACCTTTCTTAATTTCTCCATTGATAAATGTATATTATGAAACAATAAACTTAATTTCAAACACTCTCAGGTAAAGTAAAATGTATTGGGCTTTTATCTTTACGTCCCTTTTAGTTAGTTATATACATGCACCTTCTCACGCATGTCATTAGCATTTTTAGTTTGAGCGTTCTTGATAAATGTTTATCAAGAAAATTGCGTTGGAACTTAAGAAAATTTTCAGAAATTCCTCTCAGTTAAACAAACAAAAAAGCTCCACGTGTCATTTTCTTCTTCATTTGCGCATCATTTTACGCTTTTGAACAATCACCCTTAGTGAGCTCGCGCAAAATTTAGAATTTTTCTTCGCTGTGACAAATAACGAGTGTTAATTTTATAGTTATTCAGATTTTTCATCATCGTTGGTAGTTTAACTACATGTTGCCATATTGATTGTAAACATTTTTGCGAAGTTGGCATGATTTTGATGCATAATAAAGCTTGTAAACGCTTCTTCCTAAAGAATATTTACCCACAAGATTGCATACATGATGGAATTGTGTGTCATGAATGATTAAAGCCAATTGTAATTTATAAACGTTCATGGAATATTGAAAACTTTGACAAGGTTTGCCGTAGTAGCATCATAAAATCTTGTGAAATCAACTTCTCTGAGACCATAATATTAAAATTTCTATACGATTCCAATACTTGCAATCTGAAATCTCCTACGCATATTATGTTAGCAAGTTTTTATAGAAGACGATATTGCTTATCATTATGTTACCTTGATCATACTTTGCCGAAATCATAACGACACATATGTACGCTTCTCCTATGAGACAACATATCTGAAAATTTTACATTTAGTGAGCTTGTTTATAAGTTTACGTAGCTACATATAATCTAACAGCATCTATTTTTAAACAAATGTTTGCATGAGTTGGCCGTTCATGACATACAATGAAAAGCGACAAAATGTTGAAGCTTTTTCTTTGCGAACGTTTGTCAATGGGTTTCATACAGTTCAGGTTTTATTGTTGCAATAATTTATTTTGACGACGTGTGTTAGTTTTTTTATATTTTAAGCATATTCAAACAAGATTGCATTCGGTCATTATTTCACGTCGCTATATACAACTTAATATATAACTACTTTAAAGCTGTGATATTATAACATGCTATATAAATAGTTTTGGTTTTAAATGCTAAATACTAACCGTGACTGTATCCTCTTCCATTACCTCAAGTGTCCTATCATATACAAACAGAAATATATAAAAAAAAAACGTTAAACATGTTTCGTATTTTTTATTTGTAATACTCCCAAGGAAAATCCGGGTCTCAAGATTTAATAGTTCTTTTTCAATGAAAATTAGAAAACAGAAAAAAAATATGAATGTTTAAACAAACAAGATCAAGGAACCTGATATTGAGTGGTTGTCGTTAGTTAATCAACGATTTCATACAAACATATCACGAGAAAAAGTACTCGTTAGTTTTGAATATATAAGTATACGATGAGATCAACTGATGTAATGAGATATTTTGTGATAAGACACGATTTTTGTCCACCAACAAATGCAACAATGGTGTAGAATTGTCTGAGCAAATATCAACACAACTTCTTTTTGAAAACATGTTAAAAAACAGTTTCATACATTGTACATAGAGTAGGTTAGTTAGAGTGTCCCTTCAATCGTACATTATGTTAAATAACAGATTGTTTGAACAATAATACTATATTACCCTTTTGACTTTGAAGTTCCTATTCCCTCCTCGTCTTTTGTTGATTGAAGTTTCAGGTCATAGTTTGTGTTGTACAAAAATACTGTAGGAAAAGAAAAGAAATACTACGCGTAAGGATTTATGTTCCATGTTGAAATCTGTGTAAGTTAGGGCTCATGAATGTTAACCAATATGTCTATAACAGTCCTTAAGTCTATAGTATTAAGATATTTCCTTTCTTAATTATTTATTGAAGCAGGATGGCAGTATTGGTTTCGATTTGTTGATAAAAAGGAACAGTCAATATAAATTCAAATATTGTGTTTCAGGGAGGGCCAAATCTTACTTGATCTCTGATTTGAAAAATGGTTCTCTGAAATTTATCAAGATGCTGAATTTTTTTTATTTTTTTATTGATAATACATTTATTACATTTGAAGGACGTGTTTTCGACATAGAATCGGTATTCCTATCGAGGAACTAAAAGTGCACCTCTGCGTGCAAATTTGTTACTTTATTTGAATGAGGCAGAATTCACACAGAGACAAATCAAGAAGAATTCAATGAAGCTAACATTATCCTTTGACATCATATTCTGCTTTAAATATTATCTGGGAATTCAAATTTTGCTGACTATGCTGATTGCATGCATCCAATGAATCTTGAAGTAAAGCATAGAAAAACAAAGCACATATACAATTAACATTATTCATTATCGTACAGAATCATCAAAACGGCAACTGCATATAGGGTATATACATTGCATATAAAAGCACCCGAGCTCATCCATGAGCTTTAATGTAAGTTTAAGTATTTCTTCCTATGTTAAAAGAATGTCCCGGAGAACGGCAGCTTCAGTTGTCGACTCGCAAAATTAATTCTAAATTAGTATGTTTTAATTGCTCTAATATTTCTTTTTTATATTGCTCCAAACACCGTTTTTTTTTATAATTAAATGTGTTAACATGTCAATTATTTGAGAACTAAGTACCAATTCAACACTGTAATTAGATATTTGAATATTGTTTTCATTGATATTAATATTAATTTGTTATCAGTAAATAAAAATTAAACTAAATATCATTTTTAAATACATATGCATATTCATGGCTCTACAATCTGTCGATACATGTATCTTGGCATTGTACAAAGTCGTGTTTTATTCTTATACTGTTAATGACGTCTTTACATTTAATCCATTGGATGTTGGATGTGTAATGATTGATCTCAGATGCATGATTTTTTTCATTAGTTGTTATTGGCTTTGAACTAGCTGTCAGTAACTGCGAGTACTCTCTGATTTGTACTGAGTGAGGATGTATAAGTACTCTGCCACGTCCACTCTGTGTTTTTGTTAGATGTATTTCTATTTGTATCCATCTGATGAGTTAAGTCTTTTTCAACTGATTTGTAAAGTTTGTTCTTTGTACTGTTACACCACAGTCTAAGGTTAAGGAGAGGGTTGGTGCCTTTAAACTATTTTAATTCCGCCACATTCTGTAAGTGCCTGTTCAAGTCAGGAGCATGTAATATAGGGGTTGTCGTTTGTTGATGCGTATCATATTTGTTTTTCGTTCATTATTTTGTAGTTAAATTAGGCCGTTAGTTTTCTCGTTTGAATTGTTCTACATTTGTTATTTCTGGGCCTTTTATAGCTGACTATGCGGTATGGGTTTTGCTCAATGTTGAAGGCCGTATGGTGACCTATAGCTGTTAATTTCTGTGTCATTTGGGCTCTTCTAGGCTATAATGGGTTAATGATTAAATATGTTTATAAATTCAAAGTTTTCAAAAGTACTTCCCAGTATTTTTACTTTACTGTGTTTCTTCTGTATTTTCTGGTTGAACATTGTCTCATTTTGGTGTTGTTTCAGCGAGTTTGTCCGTTCTTTATCTTGTGCTTGATTTACAATTTTGCTTATTTAAGATATTCATATCCTCTTTTAAGGATACGTGTTTGGAAATCCTAGAACTGATCTATACTGTGTATTTTGATATTTTCTCCTTTATAATTCTTAAATTTGTATACAGTGTTTTTGCCTTTTCACACCGCAAGATGGTATTCAGTTCTCTTTCAACAGACATATTAACTTTAAACAACGGCAAAGGCTCACGAGGGCTCGTTTATTACTATATTGAAATTAAATAACACGAGTTGATATCAAGCAATATCCAATTCTCACTCGTTAAGAAACCTATAACTATTCTGAAACCTGCAGTATGAAATTTAATCTTATTGCTAGCTGCAGTCAATTATATGTTGTTACCTCGAACAAACATTGGTTTCCCATTCAACGTTTCCCTGTCTACAGGACTTGGTCTTTGGTTGATACTACCATGATGAACTTTGTTGGATGTTTTCCTTTTGTCACAAAAACCAGCATACCAAATAATGAAGTGAACAAGACAAAAAGGTAATTCAAGAAGCTGTAAATGGATGGGAAATATTGTCTTAACACTGAATTCTTCTAGGAAACCATTACGAAGTTGAGACCAGTGAAACTCAGATTCCTGTTGCACTTTTTCAAATGTATCACTGAAATATATACTTCAGTACAAATAACATAACCTAGATACATTTTGACAAGACTTTGAAATATTTTTAGTTCACATCTAACTGCCTGAAATGCATTTGATACGAATATAAATAACTTGAAAGAATAAGTATTTTACTTACAGTAATGCTGGTACAAAAACCCACACTCTAGTGAACAATCTTGTTCATACTGTTGCAATATAACTTTTTAATAAAGACATAAGAAGGGCATAACTTCCTCAGCTAATTATTTAGAAAGTGCTTAAGTCATAGAGGTGATTAAATATGTATGATTTAACGGTTCTTTTTGTTAGCATTATAAAATTATATTTATTCATTCATATATACATGGAAAATATGCATGCCAATTTTTTATTTTATAGTCGTAAATATTCATTACAGTTGAGACGCATTCTAGTGTAAATGAACGATGATCACTGTTAAATCATCAATTTAAGTTCACTTTAATGACGTAAACATGTCTTACATCTTACCTGTAGATAGCTATTAGAAGATTTAACAATAAAATGACTGCAATCAATCCATATATTGCTTTCAAATAAGGCACAACATGTAATTCCAATGTTGTAGGACATCTGGGTACTGCATCACTATTGTAAATGGTTTTGTTGAATGTACATTCAGGTTCCCTAACTGTAACAATTTATTATAAGTTATAGTTGTGGGTTATTAGTTTTTCAATTGAGAAAAATAACAAATACATTTAATTTAGTGATGGTACATTTAAAAATGCATTGAAGCGTTTTGTAATCCTATGCTTGATTATATAATGTGTTATATGTATTATATGTCATGTTCTCCAATTAAAATAACAGATACATTTTTACATTTGACAATATTAATTTTCCCATACATCTTTCTAAGCTATAAAAATACCAAATAATAATTATAAACAATTACCAACAAATTCCTAATCCGTACTTCAGTTTACAATTTCATCATATTTTTAGGTTTAGATAACGCTTTTGTTGTGTGTATAGTATATATTTTACCTTCAAATACCGTTTATTCTTCGCAGGATGCATTTAAACATTTGAAGGGCGGTTATACTTACTGTTCACAAATTAAGAAATATATGAAGATTAGATTGAATGAAAAACTGGTACTGAAAGGACACTTAAGATTTTTGCGAAATAGAAATAATCTACATGGAAGTATTAGTGAAAATTATTAGAAAGTTGAAATGTAACAATGATAACATTGCAAATTATTGTATAAGTTCTAAAAAACTTAAATTAACTATAGAGCTACACAACATTTCAGCTGAAAAAAACTTTTTGATTTTTTATCAAAAGCGCTAAAAACTCACCAAAGATACAAAGCTTATAATTTGGCACACCAGCCGCACATTGCGCTTACAAAGAAAGAGTCATTGGCTCCCAAATCAAAACAGTTATAAGGCCAACTAAATAACGAAGTGAAAGGGCATTTGAAAAGCCGAAAATTCTAATACATTGTGCCAAATCTGGCTAAGACAATCTATGCCTGGGGTAGAAAAAAAGTAAGGGTTTTGAGTATTTCAACATTTTATAGACAATGAATTTACATAAAATGAACATATCAATGATAATTCATGCAATCAGAAAAGAACTTACTACTAGGCTAGTGATACCCTCGGAGAAAATCGTCCAACAGCAGTGTCATCGACACAGTGTTTGTAAAATCTCATCAAAAATAATTATTATGCAAGACGTGCAGTTCATCTAAACAAAACTCAAAACTTGTATTGCCACTCAAATCAAAACAGTAATAAGAAGAACTCAAATTAAATTATCATTCCCTTCCAGATGTATAACATATAAACTTATTTGCAGACCAAATGTGTACCAGCTAAGTATTGCACGGTCCCTTAACTTACCAAAAACATATTCAGTCGGTCATATGTCTAAAGTTAATCTTTAATGATTATAGGTTTTATCATGTTTTTATTTTTTTATTCCTGAAGATATGTTTTACCGGAAACAATTAATAATGGAATGATAAAGTTTTGTTTCTGAAATGACACTTGATTTGGTATTAGACAATTGTTTATCGTTGAAAAATGAGATTTGAGAGTTTGGAGTGGGGCACTTTTAAAATGGAAATCATCTCAAAAGTAAGACATTGTTACCAGTAAATATGAAATAATTAACATAATCGAATTATTTCGTTTGTAGACACTCTTACATGTCAACGAAGGTTATTGAATAGTCGAAAAGTTTACCTGGCAAAACATAAGTGAGCTATATGAAATTATGATTAAACCCACGTGTATCTCTGTCCAGATTTAGTTCTCCAAAAAGCATCCAATAACCATTCTGCATTATTTTCTCTATCTCTTTCCAACTTAGTTCCGAGTTAGGATAGTGCAGAGAATGAAATGACACATTGTAGCTCAACATTATTACTGTCAGGATAATCATGAAAATAAACGTATCTTTGAACTAACAAGAAAGACAGAAGGCATCTAATACATCATAAAAGCTCAAAAACACGACATAATGTAGTTTGATACCCAGTCCTTAAAATTTTGTTTTGGATTTAGTTCTTGAGTATAAACTCCAAAAATTACTACATTTTGCATACTTAATAATGTAAAGTAACCATGTTGGCAGAAATATGATAGTTTCTTTCCGCTCTTTTAGTTGATAGATAAAGTCCAGCGTTTGTTTTTTTTTCAATTATAATGGCCTTTCCCTGGATATACCTTCCATCGTGTACATGCTCATTATTTAATATATGACATTTTTAAGTGTAATTAATTTTTAATGTATAATTTCTCGAACAATCAAACAAATAAGTGGAAATGTATTACAACAGTGACGATGATGTGCTTATTTGACGCAACTGTTTTTTTGCTTTGAAGAGGTGAAATCGATAGCCGGTTTGTTTGTATATGTGTACAATATATATATGATAAAAATGCATAACATAAATTTCATCAGAGGATTTGTAACATTTCATTTCAATTAAAATTGCAGAGCTGACGTACAGAAACGAGTCATCATCAGGCAGATCATTGGGTAAATATTGCTTGACTCTTCGAAGTATCAGGACTAAGGTTGTTAACAATGACAAACAATAAAGACACCATGTATTACTCCTTTGCATTTACATTTTGCATCATACTTACATATATTTTTTTTATTGTATCTAACCTTTTAATTATACTTACCATTTTATGAATGATGACAAGTTTCGGTCCGAGAAATTGAGACATACTAAACATGTGTAATATACGAATGCTTAGTAGAATGAAAGTTACAACTAGTAATATTTGGGATGCGTCTTGATATGTTTGATCGTCTCCAAATTTTAAAATCATTGCAGCTGCGTATACTACCATCAAGGCCCAATCTAACTGATTCCACGAATCTTTCAAATAGTTTTTAAATCTCTTTCTTAAAGTAGAAACAAACGCCTAAAAATGGAAATTCGTTATTGTAAAATGAAAGCTGAAAATGTTATTACTACTTTATATATAGAGTTTTCTTTAGTGTCTTACATTATTTGTTATATTCAAAATATCTGATCTATATTTATTAGAGATATATTGTTTTTTCAAGATTAGCCCTTACTTACTTCAGTCAATATCATCGAAAGAAATACAACATGACTAAAAATCCCAATCTTACAACACCTTCCAGTACACTAAAAGATGACAATAGGCAAGGCCATATTGGTGGCAAAGGTATTTTACTCTCGATAGTGGCGATATATGGGTAGAAGAGACCTATATATATATATATATTCCTGCTTGCAGCTTGGTAATATTAATGGCTCGATTAACTCTGATCATCGACGTAGACGTGATCTTTATGATGTTTGTATTAATGGCCTTCTGTAAAATACAAAGAAGCCGTTAGGTATTCATCCCATTAGCACGAGCTCGTATCATTACACATGTACCTTTTTTGCAAATTTCATTCTCTGTATCAATTATGAATTGAAAATATCCCTAGCTTTAAAAATCATTATGTGTATATTATCTTTTCTATCAATATCGCCATTATCGAGAGTAAAATACAAATAACTGATCTCAATGTTAACAAATCAAGTCTAATCATCCGGTTTGCAGATTATGAACTACTCCGTTAAATCATAAATTTACGGGCTAAGTTATCATTGGTAATCTAAACTTTGTCAACAAAACTTCACTTTTAAATGTATTAATTGTGGCATGCAAAGGGCAAAAAACCATGAGACTAGATTCTTAATTTAAAAATAAAACTTAAAATTCTAACGGATTAAGTCCTGGATTGTGTCAGACAATGACTACACGTGAAAAAGACGACATCAGTACTCTTTCTTGATGGGTGAATTGATTGATAAAAGAATTAACCAATGCCAATTCTTTTGTAAACTCATCTTTCACTCCTTCTAAACTTACCAAAAATAGGAATCCTCAGCAAAATAATAGAGATTCGAAACGTGAAATGTGTAAAAGAGACAACAACCCGACCGAAGAGCATAAAATATCCCAAGGCCACCACCATGTCTTCAACGCAGCGAGAAAAATGTTGCACCCTGAAGCGGGTTTCAGCTAACCCCTAAACAATAATGTATACTAGTTCATCAAAATGGACGCCACACTAAACTCCCAGACATTCAAATGACTAGGAAAAAAAAGTAAAATAACAAAAATATCGAATTCCAAGGGAAATTCAAAACGGAAAGTCCTTTATAAAATGGCAAAATCAAAAACTCAGACACATCCAACGAATGGAAAACAACCGTCACACTCCCGACTCGGCACAGGCATCACAGGAACATGTGCAAAAATTGCGGCGGGGTTAATCATATTTAATGAGATCTTAAACCTCCCACTATACCTCTAGCGAAAATGAAACAAACAAATACACAACAAAACGCACAGTAAAACTCAGTTCAAAAGTAGTCCGAGTCCGATGTTATAATAGTTAACAAAAGAAACTCAGAAAAATGACAATGATTAATAATAATTAACAAGGACTCCTAGCAGTTACTGATATTCAAGCTCCAGACCTCAATTAAATTGACCGAAAGATTATGTCTTCATCACATGAAAATCAATCACAATCCTTCCCGTTAGTGGCTAATTTTCGTATTTCTAATTCAAAGAAGTAAAGACGTCGTCAAAAACACGAACCAGCATGCATTGAAGCAAAATGAAAAGATAACACTGTAGGGCGTAATACGTCAAGCGCTATCCTCCATCAAGTACTACCATAGGTCTAGTCTATGTTTATTCTAAATTTCGACCAAATCTGAAAAATGGATTACCTACGTTTAGCTTGATACCAAAAAAACCTTACAATGAGTTGGTTGATCTTTATGGAGTATCTGTTTCACAGATGACGACGGGTATGTTTCAATTGTCGTAACTACAATCTCGTCCCCTTCCCCCGAAAGTGACCTACCGAATTTGACATATCACCGGGTTTGTACTTACATGAGCAACACGACGGGTGCCACATGTGGAGTAAGATCTGCTTACCTTTCCGGAGCACCTGCGATCACTTCCAGTTTTTGGTGAAGTTCGTGTTGCTCAGTCTTTGGTTTTCTATGTTGTTTTGTGTACTGTTGTGTGTCTGTTTGTCTTTTTCTTTGTTAGCCATGACGTTGTCAGTTTATTTTCGACTTATGAGTCTGAGTGTCCCTTTGGTGTCCTTCGCGTCTCTTTTACAAACAACGGTATATTGCTTGAACAGCCAAATTATCCACTTTCGTATTATATTTTATAAGCATTCGAAGTCGGGTTTTAGGCTTAAAGTGAAACTAATTGGTCTAAGGATTGTTTATATGTGGATAACAAATTAATTTCAAAGATCTGTTAGAGTACAAATAATCTAAGGGTATTCCTTTCATGAAAGTTTGAAAAAAAAAAGTTTGCCTCCTCTATTCTATACACTATTATTGCGCATTCTAACCTTGAGGACAGATTGAAAGAATTAGTAAAACTTTGTTTGCTTAGATAAAAAATAGCCAAGTTGAACGTAGATTCAAATATACTGTTTCAGTAAAGTACATTTTATACTTTGTAGAACCCTTCTTTGATGCAAGCTACATCTACGACACTGACATCATCAAGATAGTAAGTGTTTTTATTGGCTATCGACATTATATTTGTTACGTTTTTAATAGACAATTGAAACTCGCCTTCTACCTCATTTCATACGATGCACACTTTATTAAAGGAGTTATTATAGTTTTTTCAACTTCAAGTTCCTCAGTGTAGATGATGTTTATTTGATAATTAATTAAAAGTTTTCTGAATATTTGTACTATCCCATCGAACTTAAGAGAATACAACGGATACACCTCCCCCACATATTGACTTCCATCTAGAAATGGACAATAATAGTAGGTTCAGAATAAAACTGTACGACAAAAGAGATTACTTCTGTTTTCTCCATTTCTATGTATTCCTATGATGAGATTTCTTTCAATAGCTTCTATAGAAAAATCAATCAAAGCTAGAATCATCAATTATTTTTCCGGGTTAATTTTCATGTCATTTCAATGAATAATTCAATATTTTATAACTATGTTAACTGCATCTATCCCAATGAACTTAAAATAGGGGGTATCGATTATGAAGTTATTTCTGACATTGTACATGTTGTAGGAGTTGTTGTTTTGTTGCTTTCCCGGTCTTTCATGTTCTTTTAAGCGATAAGTCTTAACTGAAATTATTTCATTGTATTCTCTCCTGGGTTTAGTATCGACAAAGGCGGAATCAACTTAAACATAAAGACACTGCTAAATGAAAATAACCCTTACTGAAATTCGTGCGTCCGACGTGCATTTCTGGAATTACTTTAAGCAGGAAGACTCAAACCTTTGAAATTTAAGACTGTACTATAACTTGGCAACGTTAGAAGCTTTACTACCAAACGGAACATAAAATGATTACCTAATTAATGTAAGGTCAAATATGCCTTAGGGAGATGGAATCTTAATTTCTCAATTTGCTTGATTTATCAACGGAGAATTTATGAAGGTTATTTTATTAATCATGTCAGAATAGAAACACTCACTGCTTAGCTGATGATATCATCGGAGACTAACAGTGCACAAGCAGTGGTGTTGACTTAAATTAAAATAACACTTTATACATTTTCTGTGTCAAAAAAGCATATGATATAAGTATCTGAACACGTGAAAAACTTTGTGAACAACATTGACCTTAAAGCGGCAGCCAAATCTAACTTGGGTCACTAAGTCAGAGGATTTATTAACAGTAGGCTGCTGATAATTTTCAAAATCAGCGGAGAACTTAAGATATATTTGTTATAAATCATATCAGTACAGAAGCACTGACAACTGAGCAGATGAAAACATTCATTTAAACAATGTCTAAAGAAATGTATATACATGTATCTGGTCCCAAAAAAAACAGTAATTTTGCAGAAGATATAGTGAAAATGGTTTGTAATCAATTATAGATTTAATAATCAATATAGAGTGTCTTTCTGATATTGTTTTACATCTACACCCCCTTTTTTTTAATTAATTTTGCATTTACATTGTGTCATAGATCAAATTTATTCGTTCAAGTATGTTCACTTGTTTTTGTTAATATGTCTTTTGATTGAGTTAAGCCGTTTCAATTAATATTTTATAGTGTGCCTTTCTATGTTGTGATGTTACACTATTTTTTCAGGTTAGGGTTAAGGTTGGCGCCTATTTAAACGTTTAAACCCGCTGCATTTGTATGTACCTGTTCTAAGTTAGGAACCTGATGTTCAGTGGTTGTCGTTTGTTGATGTGGTTCATAAGTGTTTCTCGTTTCTCGATTTTATATAGATTAGACCGTTGGTTTTCCTGTTTGAATGGTTTTACACTAGTCATTTTTGGGGCCCTTTATAGCTTACTGTTCGGTGTGAGCCAAGGCTCCGCGTTGAAGTCCGTACTTTGACCTATAATGGTTTACTATTACAAATAGTGACTTGGATGGAGATTTGTCTCATTGGCACTCATACCATATCTTCTTATATCTATTTACTATATTACTTAGACCGACGATAATAAGTTCATCAGGTCCAAATATAAATAATGTGTAAATTCTACACAACTGATTCGATACTTCTATTGGTCTAATGTCCGTCCAGGCAAAGTTGAATGGTTTGGGCTATTTTGTTTTCTTTGTCTTTCGGTCAGATAGCCATAGTTTTTAGGTACTAATACATCCTTGGCTTTCAATAATGTTATCTATTTAAGCGTTCTTTGTGGAAATAAATCGAGAAAGGCCCTGCGAAAACACCAAATTTTTATAATGCTTTATTTCTTTCCTAAACCATTGACATCAATCCTCAAATGTTATATGGTATATTCTACTTTGTAGTATTTACAGCAGCATGAACAATATATTATTCATAAAATATCAAGATCCAACTGCATATCAAACGGAAAATTATCACATTCCATGCGGAAAAAGAATCAAAGAAAGAAAATAATTGAAAGTATACATTTACCTGTTTGATTTCATTAAGGAAAAAACTGCTCATCCATCCTGCTATAAACATATCCATGTATGAGAGCTCTTTATTCAAGTTGAAGAGTAACATGTAAGCGTATAACACCAGTAGAGCGAAGTATCCTAGCTAAAATGTAAAAAGAAGTGTCGTTGATAATTTAATTTTTCTGTATTATTGAAAGTAACACATTTGCAACTATTGTTCCTTCATGTTCAAGAGATGGCATAATAAGATTCATTAAAACTCATATAGTAATGATTCTGTTATCGTTAATTGATGTAATCGGCTTTTTAATTTTTCCTTAATTTTCCAGAAACATAATTTTCCGCATTGACAATAAACAAAAGTGTCGACAAACATTCCTGCCTAATTTTCTAGTGCGTTGAACTTCCGCACATCGTTGTTAATTCATGCTCATTAACCTTCAACAGACTTTGAACTTAAATTGATTTAAACAATGTTTTGAATACACCTAGATTGACTTCTTTTAACGCGTTTTGTAACGAGACTAAAAAGAAATATTCGAGTTTTTCGAGTTTTAGACACGACTGGGTTCGACACAACTGGGTTCGACTGTATGTAAAAAGTATAATACCAACAAAACCGAACTCCAAGGAAAATTTAAAACGGAAAGACCCTTATCAAATGGCAAAATCAAAAGATCAAACACACCAAACCAATGGAAAATTACTGTCATATTCCTAACTTGGTACAGGTATTTTCTTATGTAGAAAATGGTGGATTAAACCTGGTTCTATAGCTAGCAAAACCTCTCATTTGATGAAAGTCGCATAGATTTTAATTATTTTGACAACAATGTTTGAGCAAAACAAAAAAAGACAAAAAAGGGTAAATATGTCAAACATTTGGGAACAGCAGTCAATATTGTGTTTTAATCTTACTCACTATAAAAATAAACCATTATATCAACAACAACAAAAACAAAATGGAATATAGACAGTCTATAGAAAAGTACAAATGAAAGACAAGAACACAAAAAAAGGACCATAGCACAATAACAAAACGGCGGGATGTATAAATACCGAGCCACGCCAAAAGGATATTACCAAAAATGGACTAAACTGTAAAGATTAGAAATATAAAAAAAGACAAATAAAAAGAACATTATAACACATTATTAAGATATTAAACAACGTCAGTACCCAGAACCTAGACGTCAAGACCATCGTGTATTATTTGTTGATACGGAATATTTATCAACAAGATCTTGGTATCCAATAAATTTTTTTGGAAAAAAGACGAGACGTTCTTTGACATAACACTGGTTCATCAACTTTCTGCTCAAACACTGTTGACGTTTTTATAAAGTCTTCGTAGCAGCTGTAAGCTCTTGAATCCCGAATGAGTTGGGAAATGAATATCCCATATGCAGGTGAAGTTGGTATATTGCTGCTAAGGTGGGGGAAATTGATAATTTCAAAATTAAAATCGTCTGTTTGTCATAGACTCTGGTACTAAGATAACCGCTTATGTCAAATTCGAGGTATAAATCTAAAAATGAGGCATAGGAAGCCGTGTCTCTTTAATTTCAAGTTCTAAAGGATATATCAATGGAATCCAATCAGAAAAATTTGGATCGTTATAGATAGAACGTCATCAATAGGTCTGAATGTGAAATTAAATGATCTGACTTCTTTGATCTTCTTGTTTTTGACAAGTGTCTGGAGAAACTCCAACTCATATGGAAATAAGAAAAGGTCGACAAGGCTTCACAGTTTGTTTCCATAGAAATACCGTCAATTTGTTGAAAAATTCTATCTACAAATTCAACAAATATGTTGTCAATAAGATACTCCAGCATACTGATCACTTGTTCCTCTGTGAAACACGTTTTAACTTTTTGTTCACTATTATCAAAATATGCCTTATTGTATCCCAAAGCAATAGATTTATAACGTATAATACCATTTTTATTGAAAAGCATTGTTGATTATTTCTTTTAGACAATTTTTCAATTTCACATGAGGAATGATGGTATAAAGGGTTGAAAAATAAAAGGTTCTGACAGAATTAATTTCAGTGAAAGATCGCGAAGTTTTTTAGGTTTTTTTTAAAACTACACATGGTTAATACCACTACACGAGTAAACAGTTTCATAGTATTTCTGAAGAACTTCTTTCACTTCGGATAGAATTTTTGTCAATGTAATGGACAATTCCTTTGTAGAACATGCAGATTAGCCATCAATGTACCATTCTTTGTACGGAAATTTGTGAAGCTTAGGTATCCAATACAAGCAATGTAAGTCCTCAGATTTGCTGTTCAATGTACTGTTCATCAAGGCCATAAAGGACTTAGGATGCGCCAAAATCTCATCCTTGTTAAATGATATGTATTTGTATCAGGGATTAAGTGGGTGCTCATTTATTCCTAGTTCTTTTACAAGATACACGTAGTAGAAAGATTTACATACAAAAACAATATTATGTGAAACTTTTTCCGGAGAAACAACAACATATTTATTTTGACGAGATGAAAGACATGTCACAGCTTCTTTGACTCTGAATACGGACTTTGGTCGATCATTCACTAAGTTTTTGAACTTTTGGATTCAACGTTTCTCAAATCACTTGCATCATTTTCCCGTTTAAGTATATTGACTGCATTGATGTCCCATACTCATTTCAGAGATTATTGTGTTAAGTAATGAATGAGATAACACTTGTCCCGTGAAATCAAATTAAATAAAGATATATGGCATTATGTAATTGCTGCACTCGAATATTACTGTTAAGCTTTGATATTTTTTTTAATTTGCATTACGTGTCTATTTTGTTAAAATGATAATATATAAATATATCAAAATATACTGATATATCTACAGTCATCGAAATATCCTGCACAATTTTAGATATATTTTCAAGAACTACCATTCATTTGATTATGTTGCTGGTTTTCAATAACAACTGAACTATTGATACACATGTATCTTACTATCTGTGTTATGACCTTCATAACAGGAAGCTTGTATTTCTTGTAGCACCTTCAATATAGAAGCTATGATATACTAGAAAGCATATATAAGCATGTATAGATGTACAACGATTCAGGACACAACAAGTATAATATTATTCTAAAGACGACTTTCAAATTCGTGACATTTCCGGTACATTTACTTTGAGACAATGCTATTTTGCTTTTAAGTCACACCAAGAACAGATTGTTCAGTGATGTTATTTACACCAGTTGACTTTGGGTTAACACTCGAGATTAGTCTTTTTTGTCGTAGAAATGGAAATAACTGAAAATTTCAGAATTTCAGATGAAAAAGAAAAACAAATATGGCAGTTGCCAGAAAATATATAATGTATACAGTAATAAATCATTGGACTCGTTTGTCACATTGACTAATAGTTGTTTTTTTTTTTTGTTTTTTTTTTTTGTTAGCCTCTAGATAACTAGTCTTTTTATTAAGTGCTTGAGTGCGGTCTGATTAATATATACTCCACACAAATTAGTCATACGATTTTGCAAAATTATGATGCGTGCCATATTTTAGATTTTAAAAGTGAAATAACTTAACCACATACCATTTAAGAGGACCAGTTTCCATACACATCATTAAAAGCGGCATCACAAGTAAGTGCACACTTGCTAAAAGGATAAAACTCCAAACCTATCAAGTATTAATAAGCTTTCAAAGTCGTTATTTAGATGACTGATCATAACAAACAGTACAATGTGTAAAATATAATTTAGCATTAGATTTTGCGTAACGATTATATTCTTGGTGTATCGAATCTTATTAAATTTACTTTATAACACCACAACTGAATAGGTTAAAAAGTATGAGGTTTCGGTAGGGTTTTGAGTAATGTTGTTCTTCTATAATGTTTAACAAAACATTATTATGAAAATATATATTCCCAGTGGAAAGTTCCAATTTTATTGACCGTTTAAGGCGAAACGTTTTGGGATTCCAATTGCGAGGAAAAGGTCGGAAATCAAAATTAATCCACATATAATCAGAACATCTGTCCTTAGCAGCATCGATCAGTTAAATAGATTTCTTATCACATACTTGGTCAAATATGATATTTGATTAATAAAGTAACACATATTCTGTTTTAAAGTACACAAATATGAATTTTTTCCTCTAAAAATCGTAATTGTTTAAAACTTAGTAACTACAACTTGTCTTCTATCTCAATTTTCGAATATAATGATAATAATTCTATTTGTATTGCATATCAAAACCAAGAAAAAAATAAGAAAATAAATGTTTACACATTTGTATATATGTTTTTTTGTTTCAAACCAATTTTTAAAGACGCATGATCAATTGCGGAGAATTATTTGGGTTGATCAGTCCAAACGACATGCGGGCAGTTCCAATTTTTACCAGTCGCCAGGACGGGTCTGCCATTGAGCCGTTTGTAGAAAGTATCTATTGTGTCATTGTTTAACATTACTTTACTCTTAATTTGTTTAAAAATCTTTAAAAAAAATAATTTTCTATAATGCAAGGATGACAGAAGACACGCATGGTAGTGCTCGTGTTCATTGTTGCTGAACGCATCCGATGAAGAAAAGATAATAAGAAACGCAAACCCTGGGAAATATTTATTCCTTATTTAGGTGTTGATATTGCTTAACGGAAATGAGTAGTTTAAATCGAGGAAATTCAAACCATCTCTAAACTGAATTTCTAGATATAATTAATGAAATATTAGACTTGCATGTTGCATGCTGTAAGTTTCGGTGAATTATATGCCGGAACCAAAGTAGTTTGTTTAAGTATGATTTGTTTCTTCTTCGGGATTAAAACTGTTTTGATTCGAGTACCAATACTGAGTCTCGTGTAGACGAATTGGCGTTTTACGTGCTAAATTTTAAGGTTGGCATTTTGGTGAGCTTTGGCAGCTGTTATGCATAATTCTTAACTAAATTCATAAGTATTTTAGAGATATGTGTCTAGTCTATGGATTTTGTCTCACGGTTACTTGGCCCTTTGGCTAACACATTTTTGTATTGAAATGATGTTGGAAATGTTAAAGGTCACGAGTAAGAGCACGGTCAGCCGGATTATATGTGAATGGGGAACCTGCACATGTGCAACCAGGTAGTTTTGACTTCTAGAGATTTTGCAACACATGTTTGTAGTGAAATATTTTGGACACTGTGTGTGATATAGGTATCAGTAGTGATTTGTACATACTGCTCTTTGAAGTAGGTAGACATTTCAAAATTTTACCGATTTCATATGATGAAGGATATTGCCTAAGTTGGCTTCTGCTGGGAAAGGCAAGTTTTAGAAAGGGTTGATTCTTACTTTTATAGTTGCTTATTCTTATTGTAAAAGTCTGTAATGAACAGAAAAGCGAGACCGATAATGAAACAGGAACCAAGGTTGAAAAATTGAAATTGACATATGAAACTGTTAGTGTTTTTAAGTTTCAATTAACTAAGCCCGAATATTCCTTTAGATTTGGCTGAAGCTGACGATATCATATCGATGGTTACTTGAAACATCAGTTCATATGAATCTATTTAGAAGGTGAAGATTATTATTTCAACCTTTACATAATATTGTTGTCAAGTAATTTACAATCAAATATGTCCGTATAACTTTATTAAAGATGCACAATATTACCGGAAAATGTTTTGTTGAAAGTACAGGGCTGGGATTTCTACATTGACTCTTGTCTTACAAATATTTTCGTCGACAAGTTTGCGTTGATCATGATGATCGCATTTTTATTACTTTTCATGGCTGTACCAATGTGTAGTAATAACGAAAATAGGTTCAATTCTTGTATGGAAATATGGAAAGTCAATATCACGATCCGAAATGCACATGCAAACCTCTGTAATAAATTGGTTCACTAGTCTAGCGTTAAGTCTACATGACTTTCGAATGTCGCTCGAATTAAAAACGGTGGAAGGCAAATTCAATCATGACGTTGATCATTTGAAACTAGATTAAAAAATCGTTTTCAACATCTGGCTTAAGATATCTATGCTAGGGGTAAAAACAAATAGACAGAAAAAGTAGTTCAAATATTCTTAATACATTAAACAGATTCAAATCAAGGTAAAAAAATTTTAAACACAGAGAATCGCCAAAAATTCAAAAATATTAAGACCGGGTGCGTCGACAAAATTTTTCAACGACGTAGTGGTATGGCCTTTCAACTGTTGTGTTCTATAGTCTTATGTAGATGAAAAGCATGTCTGGCTTTCAAAATTATAAGCCTGATAGTATGATGAGTTTTTACACTTTTTGATATAATCGTTTACACGTTCTTGATTTTGTTGGTAAATCATCTTACCTTTGGTGTAAACAATTTTAATGGCATTGCAGTGTATTGTTAAACAGTACATTACCTGGTGCCCTGAAGTATTCTCTTCTCCATACCAAATTTTATTGAGAATTTTGCTGACAGTGTCTTTTTCAAGAAAGGTCTTGTTTTCAGTTTTAATTGCATCTTCTAAATAGCCATGGTTGAGCAAACGTCGACCTGCATGTCCAACCGGTTCTCCCAGTTCATTTTCAACTAGTTCATTGGAATTTTGGTCTTTTTTCTTTTTTTCCGTCTCATAAATGCATCTAGTAATTTGGAGAGCACGATGCGTGAAGGCCCTGTGAAAAAGAAAAAAAATACTGAAGAGTGAATATAAATTTAACACACTTATTACGTATCTTACAAAAACATTGTCCCAAATACAACATTTTCTATCCGTAGGTCTAAAGGATACGGGTGAATGTAATACTAAGTGTAGCATGGAACATATTTTAAATTTATTTGAAAATATATTCATATGTTCTTCCGAACGGTATCATTTAATTTTCAATTCTTAAAAGCATTACATGTCAACTACACTGTTTGTCTAGGAGTGAACAGATTTCAAAGACAAAAAAATATAGTTATTGCAAATCTAAAGTAACGCATATCCACGCTTTCGCCAGTTGTTGTTCAAAGTTGCAATGTAAGGCTTTTTTTTTTAGGGGAACTGATAATATTTAGTACGCCATCACGAGTTCGGTGAACGTAAATGATATATCTGCCAGAGATGACCATCGATTTGTTCTAATTGCCCTCACCCCTTTATCTTTTCCTCTTTTCCAAGATGTTGACATCCCTGAACATCTGAGACTTATCATCAAATTTGTATACACCATGACTTAAACGAAGGATATTACATGTGAAGCAGGATCTTTTACACTCTAGCACAAATTGGTTTGGTTAGTTTTGTCTAGTATGTAGTGCATTTTGTACCATTGTTTGTCGTTTGGTCGTTTTTAGTTTTTGCGATGTCGTGGTCAGTTCTTATTGACTTATGAGTTTTAAATGTCAATTCGGCATCTTCTGGCTATTCCTACTATAGTGCTAAGAAATATGTTATGATATAACGGAAAATTTAGTTTCATCTGTATTGGGGCACTTTTTTAAATAACAGTCTGATATAGAAATAGGAAGATGTGGTATGAGTGCCAATGAGACAACTCTCCATCCAAGTAACAATTTATAAAAGTAAACCGATGTCTTTCTTGATTTTGACATCACGGAATGAGACAATTTGTTTTTACCATGAGCAGCACGCAAGTATCACGTGAGAAAAACAATCTGCTATCCTTCAACATCACTTGAGATGAACCCTAAATTTTTTATTGGTTTTTCATGGTTCAGTTTTTTTATGTGTATTGTTTTGAAATGTTTTGAAGTGAATTGATTGTCTTTTGGTCGTTGTCGGTTTCTAATCGGCTTATCAGTTTTGAATGTGCTCTTTTCTTATATTACTAACAAAACATTAATGGTAAAACATGTATCGGACAATTAAGTCATATGTAGATCTTGATTCTTTATTAGCAACGGTTTGAATATTATTGTGTTTTCACAATATCGTTCGTCAAATGAAGGCACATGTAAAACTGTGTCTATAGCTGAACTTTACACTTACAATGTTTATTTCTTTTGAGTATATTAAATATAATCACATGCTGTTGTTTGGATTGAAATAAATGATTTTAGAGTCATAATTAAAATGAAAGCATAACGGACACATCTCATCGGTAATGTTTGTAAAATATTTCACATATTTAGACGTATACTTATGTATAATAAATTGTAAATTGATGTGACTGCATGGTAATTAAAATCATTATCCTTTACGACAGACAAAACAAAAACAGCTGATATGCAGGGTATATCATCTACTTGCCACTGTACTGCATGAACTGTGCTCCAGTCCTAGATAAAGCCGACAACGAAAGGCATGACTCGAATAACAAAAGCTACATCTTATATAACCTAGTTGTTTGAGTGGTCAAAAGCGCCCGACAAAGTGCAGACGATTTTTCACGACGTCATGGAAGCAGTAGTTCAAATCCCGCTGAGGGGAGAATAGAAATTTGTAAACGCACATTTGCAGTTCTAACATTGTTGAGTTTAATTTCAGACGAAGTATATATAAATTATGACGTTAATCCTGTATAACCATAGGTTATTCGGTTTGAGAACATTTGTCATACAGTTGTCAAATGTTTAGACGTATATAGCAAAATTCATATTGATTTGAATGCCTGTGAATTGAAATTGATATTCTTTACGTCTGACAAAAAATAAGCTGATCTGCAAATTATACCATTTACTTGCCTCTGTACATCGAGTACTGTGTTACACCACTAATTATATACGTGTATACTCGAAGAAGGTTTAAATATTCCTAAAATTTATTTTAAAATTCAAGCATTCGGACTCAAGTTTTTCCGAAAATGTTTTACTGAAACTGTAAAACAGTGTGGAAAAATACTTTTTTCTATTTTTAATCAAAATCAAATACATGAAATTAAATGCAAACATGGTTTACACTAACATTAACACGAGACAATAAAACGTCTTACCACGTGTCTATCAAGAAATGACACAGTCGTTTTCATGGTATTCATCATTACTGAAACAACTGGGACAAATATAACCAAACTTGGCCACAATCATCATTGGGGTATTTAGTTAAAAAATGTGTCCGATGACCCGGTCTGCCAACATAGATGGCCGACAAGGCTAAAATAGAACATAGGGGTAAAATGCAAGTTTTGTCTTTTATTTGGAAAACCGTTATAAATAGAGAAAATCTGACAGTGGCAAACATGTTTAGAATGTTGAGCTCTACCAGTTTTTATTATACGTCAAAACTTCAGACGACTTCTTATAGGAGTTATTGCCCTCAAATGACACATTTTACCATTTTTTCATTTTTGCCTATTATCTTGAAAACTATAATAGATAGAGAGAAACTTAAAAATAATCAGCAAGACAAGTTCTACAAATAACATGGTCGAAATCTTCAGTCGACTCCTTATTAGAGTCATTGCCCTGTGATGACGATTTTTACCAATTTTTTGCGTTTTTGCCTTATATCTTAAAAATTGTAATAGATAGATTGAAACTTAAATAAACAAAAATGATCAGAAAGACAAGATCTACAATAAAGACAAATGGAGGAAATCGTCCGACGACTCCTTATTGGAGTTCATGCCCTTTAATGACGACTTTCAACATTTTTTTTTTTTTGCGTTTTGCCTTATATGATAAAACTTATAATATATAAATAGACACTTAATCACAAAAATAATCTGCAAGGCATGATCTCCTAAGAAGTCAAATTTCGTCGATACAGTTAGTAGACTGTCACTCTGTATAGGAGTGATTGCCCTTAAATGAGGATTGTTTTACTCTCTTTTGTGTTTAGAGCAAAAACTAAAGAAGATAGAGAGAAATAAAACAGACTAAATAATCAGCAATTCAAGATCAACAAAACACATATTTTTTCATGAAATCTATTTTCTTCTACAATGTTGGAGAGTGTCCTTTGTTGAATGTGCACATAGACCAAGGTGAGCGACACAGGCTCTTTAGAACCTCTAGTTCAAGAACAAAAAGCATATTATTTCAACTTATTTGTTATTAATGATTGAAAACATACATATCTAAGAAATTAGATAAGAAAAAAAAATGATATGGGATGTACATATTTTTGGTAAGATTATTTCTTTGTACCTCTCATCCATTTTCTCAACATTTTGGCTGATAACACTGACCGGATTGGTTATAAAATTTGAAAATTTATTACTCAAAAACTACTTATTGTAAGTACACATTTTTTTCACAGACTTTAGTTTTATTATAATATTTTTTAAATTCATTGATATTTTCCACTTGTATCCCATGTTTTGGAAATAATTCTCGAACGAGATTTCAACGAGACTGAAACATCAGAAGAATACATCCTTAAAGTTGAAAATCGATTTCATATTTTGCAAATTTATAAATATCCAATATTCCTTTATAACGGAAGAGCATTGTTCTATAACGAATTCATTAACTCATGTATCGTTCAGGTAAAATCTATTTGCTATGAATTTTTCCCTGATTTTTATCAAAAGCTTATATCGTTCAATTGGAACAAAAAACATCAAGAATTACACAGTGGGATTATAGCTGAAACGTACGACAAAATTTTAAACGCGCGCGATAAATCCAGTCACTGTGAACAGGCTGCCCTCTTCGACGGTTATAACTAATATGATAGAAGTTACTAGGACTATTTTTATACGCTCCTCCTACAGATATTTTCTGAATCGCTAACGTCGGTAAATTTCTTGACTCAACATTAATATTCTTTGTGTTTGAAATCTCTTTATTTGATTGTCAATCAGTGTCATCTACCACCAAAAGGTGCCAGTCTTAATTATAGGGTGGTGACAAAAAATATTTATTTTTACAATGAACAAATATGAACTATAAAAATAAGAAATGAGACAACTCTCCACAAGAGACCAAATGACACAGAAATTAACAACTATGGGTCACCGTACGGCCTTCAACAATGAGTAAAGTCCATACCGTATAGTCAGCTATAAAAGGTATTCTATTTCTTTACCTTACTCAACTCTAAATATTTTTGTAATTATATCAGTTTAAATTGCTTGGTTCTATTCATTTTGGAGGGATGTAAAAGTACCCAGTCACGTTTAACTATTTAACCTTAGTCGAAATTTATTATTATATTTTTTAACTGCTATTTATTTGGGATGTTTAAATACGCAGCCTCTGTTGTAATTACTCTACCGTTGTCAAATTTGAAATATTTACAAACTTAGATCGGTCAGTGCTGTTTATTTGGAATGTTTATTCACGTAATCGTTCTTGTAACATCGTAACTGTCGTCCCCTTTTAAACTTTAGAATTGTGCCAGTTCATATCGCACATTACTTTTTTTATTTGAAGCATATCTTTGCAGTCTCTGTTGTAAATAGCTATATAACCTATGTCATGTTTAAAAAATTTTAGAATTGTACAAGCGTCTAAACTATGATGTTCGGTTTGACTGTTTTATTGTATAAATTTCAAGATTGTTATAGTTTAATCAAAGTAGATTGATATGATTCATTTGACATCCATGATCATAATTATACTGATGAAGGATATCTGTTATCCGAAATATTTATAAATTATTACATTTATAGTTTTCTTTTTTTGTTATTGGTGTTGTTTTGTACACTTTTCAGGCGTTAATATATCTATATATATATATATATATATATAGATTATTAAGTCTAAATTGAAAACAACGTTCAAACCTATGATTTCGTTGGATAAAAACCGCAATTCTTATACGTGTGCATGCAAAACAAATTTCTTGGTTGAGGGGTCTAAATACAGCACAAACAACATTTTCCAGAAGACCAAAAAAGTGAAAAAAGTATATTCAAACAAAACGCATTTGACTAACAGGTCGAACAACGGATGTTCTTAAACCCTGCTGACTGCCATTGGCGATTGCCAAATAAACGGATCACAAGATGTAACTAAATGGATCTTTATTATTAATTTAAAACCAAACTGATAACAATAAAATTGCGGAAAAGATGGTATACCACAAACATGAGGTGCAAAAATTTCTATATATACTGATATATGAAATATGTACTGTATGCATTTACATATAACATTTTGAACAACAAAACGTTCTTTTCGAGAAGAATTATGTTGATAAAAACCAACCTGTGCGGTATGAGCAAACACGTTTTCAACTTCTTATTATATGAAAGACTGATTATGTAATTTGGTGAAATGTTATTTATTGTTTTTCATTGGAATTGCTCTGTTCTAAAAATATATCGCGTATTACATTTTTTTGTGTACCTCGCCTTAGACATGGAATTTATAGATCATATTTCTACGCAATTTCTCAGCATATATTGTATAAACTATAAATAAAGATAAATATCATATAATGACTGAATATGATTCATGAGATTTGATGTATTTTACACAACCAGCATATGGATAATATTATAAAGTTCGGGAACATAAAATGATCATTGTCTATGTTTTTTGTTATTCTTTTTATCCTTTAAAATCTGTTGTAATTATTATGTGAACTTTGTGTATTTTAAAAAAGTAAAAAGAACATGTTTGTTGCGTTCATTTAAGCTTACTGCATAAAACAGTATTTATAATTTATGTCGATATTCCTCTTAAAATGCAACATTTTGTGCAAGGAAACTAAACATATTCTACAATGGTCTTTTAATGGTTGCGGTACAAATCCAGCTTATTGTTTGCTCAAAAGGTATATAATGTTTGATATAATATGTCCATTGGAGAAACAAAAGTTAATCAAACATTTTACAAGGTTTTGAAAATAAGACTATTCTGAAATACCAGATACATACAAAACTCTGGATCTTATACTATTTAATTGTTTACGATTAAATGTTTTTAATTTGAATAAACTTGTGTTCGATTTTTCACTTGTGGTGTTCCGGTTTAAAGTAGAATGTATTTTCAAAATTTCTATAAAAAAAACGTTTCCTTGGGTCTCATTATTAATATACAATTTAATTTTTAGACTTTTGTGAACTTCAACATATTCAGCTTATGTCGTTAATTTTAAATACATGTACATTCTTTAAGATAAGGTTCATTAAAAGTTTTTCAAGTTTAATTGCTTGTTTTATTAAACTGCTACTTAATGATACCGACAATGTCAAAAATATTGTTCAGTTTAAATTGTATTTTGTCAGTGTTTTTATCATGTTTATATTGCCAAAGTATTAAGCTAGTTTTCTAATTGAAGTTACCAAAAACAATTTAGAAAACGTTATTTCATCAAACACGCTGATTTTTTTGGTAGTTTGAATGATGCATATAGTTTATGATACAAATAGAAAGGGCGAACGGATAATGGTGTATGGTTGGTATTATGAATGGTGAATGTAGGATGTTTACATAATCAAGGATTGTGTGTTCGAAATCTCAATTTTATACCAATATTGACGAAAGTTAACATGTAGGAAGACTATTAAATAGTCTTTTAAATATTGAGAGTTTTTATGCATTTATTTGTTTCTTACTCTTTTAATCTTGTCAAATTTTATTTTTGTAAATGCGTTGTTTTCCAATCGTTTGAAACCTCTTGGAGAAGTTGACAACCAACCAAAAGATGGTGAATGCGAACCTGGAACAAAGAGAAAAAAGGCAAAGAATAAATACGTTTTCTTTCGAATTAATGTATAGTTTAAGAATCTTACTCTGTGCCTCTGTTAGACAATTTGTTTTTCTTATTAAATGAAAAGCAGAACATTTACAAAACGACAGCAAGTTAATATACTGATAAATAGTAAACTTGATAAGGTTCACTTTACATATAGGGATTATGTATTTTCACTCGATATTCCCATTCCAGTCCCGTGTACTCCTTTGCACTTGAGATTTTAAACGATACAACAATGAAAATATCTACTTAATATCAAGTTTGTTTTTATAAAAGTAATGCTAATGAACGACTTTTACGATATTAGAAAAAAAAGATATGAGTTTTCTTACTGTCAACTTATTCCACGGTATTTCATGTATCAGAGGTTGTTAGAAAAGAAGATTTGAGAGGACAAAATAAAAAAAATGTTTTTATTGGCTTTTGAACAAGAGGGCATAACATATCAGTCAAACCACATCTTATGATAATTTTCTATTTGAGTTTTAAACGCTGTGTTGGTACAACTAGATGAAATTGTGTCATGTAAATTAATTCTGTTCAGGTCTACTGCCTACTGAAGATACGCAACTAGTTGACTTAAAGCGGGTATACAACAGTTTCTAAACCAAAATTGTCAGTAAATATATTGCATCAAAAGCGCTGATATCATCAGTTTTGTATGGAGGGGTTATATTTGTAAATGGAATAGTCAGTATTGTTAATGACAGAAAATTATCGGTTCAGTTGGATATATAAAACAGACTGAGACGTTATGGAAATTGTAAGTGCCCTTTCAAGTCAACGATTTTGAGAAAGTACTTAACTTTGTGCATTTGGTTCTAATAATTAAACATACAAATCCCGTTTCCACAAGTTGTTTTGCCCCAGGATAAAATTCTTTCTTCAGTAATGCAAAAAATATGAGCCCATAGAGTTCAGGTTTGATTTCGTCCTCCGTCATCTTTCCTCCTGTAATATTGAAGTACAACAGGCTATTTGAAATAAAAAAAAAACTATTCTCTGTAATGGAATCGATACAAAAATTCAGGTATACTGTTTATAACATGTACAATACGGAACAAAACTGGTAAGTTTTTTACAAGCTTTAGTCATTTTTGTTTCATATGGATATATGTCTTGTTCATGTTGAGATAAATAATCTTAAACATTCATTATTATCCAATACTGATACAATATATTAAAGATCTTAATCTGTAAATAACCATTATTTCTTTAAATAATTCTCGTGCCATTTTATAATAGATTCAATAATTCTCTGTTACGACCACGAGTTATTCATATTCTTGATTAGGTAAATGCATATACCAAAGAAATATTTCTGCCATAGCAAAAACATTTATAAAATAGTCTCGTTGCCTTTGTTTGTCTTTTCGCCGTTTTTCGTACTGAGATGACCGCTGGAGTCAAATTCTAGTTTTATGTCTAAATAAGGCGGAGGAATATGTGTCTGGGTTTTCTTTAATCTTTAGTTCTGGATTAAATATTGATGGAAACCAATGAAAAGAATTTGGACTGTTCATCATTAATATATTTGTATGTGAAAGGAATTACTGTCTTATCTAGCTTCTTTGATCTTCTTGCTTTTATAAGTATCTGAAGGACATCCAACCCACATTAAAAGAATAGGTCGGCAAGGATAGGCGCAGACGTGGTTCCTATAGAAATGCAGAAAACAAATGCTGGACAATTCTAAATCAAAATTAAAAAAAAAGTGAAATTGAATAATATTGATCACTTGTTCTTATATTGTGCTTATATAGGTCGTCTTTTAGTGTATTGAACCATTTTAGTTATTATGTCCTATTCCTGATTATGACATTTCGACTGAGGGTGGATTTCCTAGCAGACGACGCTACTACTAGTAGGGGATGGGGGTAACGACCTTGACTACACATGAGGGTCTCGTACGGTCGGCTTTCTGGATTCCATAGCAGACGACACTGATCCTTTAGACGCATTTGGTCTCGGTCCTTTCGGAGTGAATGCAATTCTGTCAACAAACGCTTTGTAATTACTTGGAGTTTTTTAATCAAATTGATGGGAGTATTACTAACTCTTTTATATATTTTTTTTCCGTATCCCTTTGAAATTTGTTTTTCATCCTGTTTCTAAGAATACAGATTTCATAGAATTTTCTTTTGAAGTGTAATGTCAGACATGAATATTGACAGGGAAAGCGAAATTACATTCTTTACCGTTGTATTGGAAATTGCAGACGTTCATGTATACTATATTTCAAATGGGAAACAATAAAAAAAAATCAGGTTTATATTCCAGACACAGAAACCACAAAATACAAAAAGGTTGAGGTTAACATGCAACCTTAAGTGAATGACAGTTGTCTCTATGATGCGACAAACTCTAATCTACAAAGCCCAAATCTAAAACGTTGTTAACAAAGATTTACCATTGAAAATCTGAGCAAAAGGTTTTAACGTTTTTTTTTCTGCTACAAATTCAATCGATTAAACTTGATCAGACTAAATATTCGTGTCAGACTGACATTTGCAACTAGTATCATAAAATAAAAGAACATTTAAGACAAATTAATCAAGAGTTGGGCCGAATAAGCCATAAGAGGAAAACAGTCTTCATTATTTCGAACTGTTTACAAACAGTGAATCTACAAAAATGAAGTATCAAAGATATTTCATGTCAGCCAGCTGTACCCTAGACCCATTTGATGTAAAAACACAATAAAATTACCAGACTTACAATTAAGTTCGATACACTCGCGTTATACAAAGGTTTTTCAAAGATATTGGTATTAAAACTGCTGGAAGGCCAACTCAATTAAGAAATTATTAATTATACTTCTTGTCAGAGTATGCGTGCTGACTACTGCCAGTTGAAAGTCCACCAACACTGACTGTTATTACTGTAAAAGCATCAAGTCTCATTGCAATCATACCACATCTTCTTATTTTTATATTTTATCCTATTTCAATAATAATAACGAATGCTAACAAATTCGATAGAAGCTGTTTTATAACTATATAGATATTCAATAACTCAAGTGATACCAAATTGTTATTCGTTATGAAATATTTAAATACATTTGTTTTTGGTGTTCAATCAAAACAGACCAATCGCGGAATGATTTAAAAACTAAAGAAATTAATACACTGCAGTATTTTACCTTTTCCTAGTTCAAGTGGTAACACATGGAACGAGCTACTAAAATCTAGCAAATCAGTGAATAATCCATTCGTCAATTTCAGTCTACAATCCTAAAACCAATTGTATATTATATTGTTTTCCCAATGAACTTTTTATAGATACATGTACATTGATAGCCTTAAAATATCAGAGCAAACAATTACAAAGCCAAAAGAGTTATTTCCAAATTGATATATATAAATTGGTGGCGCTTAATTTTTCATAGCTCAAATATCTCAACATGTTAAGTAGCTTTAGTATTATCTTAAACATTGTCTTGGATAACAGGTATACAATTGGGTTAACTACAAAAATGTTACGATAAGTAGTTTTCTAAATGTTTGAAAGAATTAAATGAACTTTTGTTACTACAATTTCTATCAAACATACATAATGCCAAGCCATCATAGGTTAAAATAGTCAATGTCCCAGTTCTACCAAGCCCAAAAAACCGCATAAGAAAATTAATGATGTATGAAAAAAATTATGTCGCATTACAATATGCCGCAAAATAATTTCTGAAACAATGCGCATTTGGTTTTCGTTGTTCCCTACACTCTGAACGAATATAATAACGATTGGACACTAAAACAAGGTATTTTCTTTTGTTAGGTTGACTATTTACAAAACCTGTTACTATTATCTATCGAAGGTTACATTGTAGAAGTAATACAATTTTCAAATGATCCATGCTTAAATGTTACTTTGTGTTATGAAAAATAGGCGGTAAGGTTATTGTAGTTAACGCTTTACTTACCTCTTCGTAGATATATTCAACAGATCGATAATCAAGTAATTCATTAATGCATTCTTTCGGAATACGCCATTTTCCTTTTTTCAAAAGATACATCGATAAAGCATTTGCATATAATTTTGTATCTTTTCCCTACAATTTGAAATATGTTTTTAAGTTATATGATAATACTATTAACATCTGTTCAGTGTTGAATATTCCAAAATCTGTTAGTACATGTATTATAAAGTAAAATCACAAAAATACTGAACTCCGAGGAAAATTCAAAAAGGAAAGTCCCTAATAAAATGGCAAAATCGAAAGCTCAAACACATGCACGAATAAAGCTTAGCTTTCTATAGGTTGGGTTCATTAATTTGATCCAATAAAAATTAAGTATGAATTCCCATATAAGCTTCAATTAAGTGTTATGGTATTTTTTATAACGCGACGATTTATGTACAAACATTTGTCATTATTGATCCTCTGATAGACTAGTTGTGCCTATCGTTTTTTTTTTTATGTTTTTCTTCATTTTTAAAAATCATGGGGAGTTAACGGTCAATGATTTAGCAAAGTAAGTATTACTAAGTTCATTATAACATAATGTCATTTGCTATGATTATGGATCAGACAACTATTCACCAGAGTCAATACTAAATGGTTGATATCAACAATAGTTCATTGTATGGTCTGCAACAACGAGCAAAACCCAACCCGTATTGTAAAACTTGACAAAAAATCATTGGGAGTTAACGGTCAATGATTTAGCAAAGTAAGTATTACTAAGTTCATTATAACATAATGTCATTTGCTATGATTATGGATCAGACAACTATTCACCAGAGTCAATACTAAATGGATGATACCAACAATAGTTCACTGTACGGCCTGCAACAACGAGCAAAACCCAACTCGTATTGTCAAACATAAAGGGCTCCGACATGACATATTGTGAAATAAATCAAACGGGAAAACTGGCGGCCTGATCTATGTCAAAATATAGTTAAGGCAATATAAATATGACGGACAGAAACTAAAAACATCCACTGAATTACAAGCCTCAAATGTGCGATAGGCACCCACAGAATTTGTTGAAAACCGCTTCAACATAAGACATGAATGTTTCCATTTCTTGCATTATCATTCCCATCAACCTTTTTCGTAGGAAGTCTTTATTGTAAATAACAGTTGGTTTATAATATTATAAGTGACCTTTAATTTATGCAAGTGTTTTAGAGTATCATGTTACATTTCAGTGACATGTTAAGAAAATAAAAGTGTGTTTCTATATTGCTACGAGGTCTATGGTACAGGCCTTTTCATGAGTTAACGTCCTACTTAATAAACAATTATCATTATACGCGATACACAATGATTTATTCCAAAGTATACCATTGTCAATCACACAAATCATCATTTTTAATAATGATATAAAGATACAAATTACTCTTCGGTGTACGGCATACACGATACAACATTTTCCATTATCTTTTGAATCAGATACAATAGCGAACCATTCGAAATTATCTAAAAACAATTTCGTTAAAAATGCAATAACACAAATAATCTACATTCCTTTGAGACAAAAATGAATGAAGGTAAAAATCCCATACATACTTCCCCATCGCACGATACATATTCCGCACTTCACGTTACATTATCCTCATTGCACCATATATGTACAAATTTCATTCATCTGTCGCCAAACAATAAGTCAAAGACTAAAGTACCAGTACTTCTTTATATATATATTAATAAAATGATATGTTTTTGAATAATAAAGATTTTTTTGATTTTTTTTTTTAAGTGTCTTATTTGTGCAACTTTGACCATAATCCAGCTGATTCGTGCATATTTTTAAAAGAATTGTGGGTTTGATGATAAAAGCATGAAACTTTGCACAATAGTAGATATATATTTGATAATCAATCTAAGCTATGGACCCACTCTGAACAATCCAATATGGCGGCCATTTTCAAGATGTCTGCCAATCAGTCTAAATTTCACAACCATATCTAATTAAAAGCCAATAATATTCAAACCATATCTTTTAAAAGAATAAAATATAATCCAACGTTTCTAGTAAGTCATGACGTTATATTAGACTTTTAATTTTTTTTTTCAAAATGGCGGAAAATTTCAAAATAGCCGCCAAAAAATGAAAATGAAAAAAACTAGGACAAGGCTTTGCTTATATTCTATAGAATTGCATTTTGCATTTAATACAATATTCTAGGGATTGTCTTTCCATGATACATGGATGCTGCTTGCAAGATAATTTAATCAAAGATCCTATAGATGGAAACATCCGAACGTTCTCAGGACGCCATCAGGATTTTTTTTACCATTAGGTACCATCTTAGTCACAAATGATAATTAATATGTTTCTGTTCTTCCGTTGTTTTCCTCTTATAGTTGATGTGTTTCCCTCGGTTTTGGTTTGTGACCCGGATTTGTTTTCGCTTAATCGATTTATGACTAATACGGTATATTACTGTTGCCTTTATTTATTTCTCCTTGCCACAATCCTTTCTTTTTGCTCGATTGTGGTAACATGAAGATGATCAATAAAAACGACTTATGACAAAATTTCTACTTGCAAACGGTAATCATGGTAGCATCACGAGTGCTTCCAGTTAGCCAGAAACTACACACCCTTTCGGAACACCTAGGAATACCCCTGGTTTAAATGAAAAGGGACTTGTGTTGTTTATGCTTTCAATGTTGTGATATTTGCTCTTTTTTTTTCAATGTCTGTGTTGTCAAACAATGAAAGTCTTGTTTATCCGTCGTACATGCATGGGAAACCTTATTTCATTTCAAACGTTCACATTCGGTCAAGTTTTGTATAATTTACATGTACCAATGGTTTTTACATGTTCTAAATTTTGTGATTCTAAGAGTTAGAAAGGAGACATTTATGAATCCACTATTTTATGTTGTTAGTCCTTTTTGCGTTTTTTGTCCATTTTCTTATCTGGTTTTGTTTTACTAATGACTTTTGAGTGCCTAAGTATCTTCTACATCTTTTTTATCATCTAAACAACAACATATTTTTAATGCAATGTTCAAAATGTTTCTGAAGAACAGCCATTTAGTCTTTACATAACACTATTGTCCTCGCGCAAGTTCTTCTACCATGACATTCGTTTTATATCTGTCAACCACATTTTATTAGCTCATTACAAAATGTTGATACCTTTGTGATAAATGTCCATATGGCATATGCCATCTACAGTCATTCGAAGTAGCACTCTGTGTAAAAGGGCGAAACATTCCCCGCCTTAAGCTTTCACATTCTTTGAGGATGTTGTGTGTTTACTTTTAAAACGTTCCTGATGTAGAACATCATGTGGTTTACCTGATCACGTTAAATTATTTAAAGGTGGATTGATACTTGTTTTAAATTACTATGGCCATTTCTAGACAAAATACCATTAAATGCTGTGGTTGTGCGATATTTATTGTCAATCTGATTGCCCCACCTTCTCCTTTTACAAATGTACAATTCTACGCATGGGCTTAAATCCATCAATTGGAAATACAACTTCAAAATACTGATGGATTCAGTCGAGGATTATGCCAGGCAATGGGCTAAACGCGAGAAAGAAGACGTAGATACTCTTTCCGAATGGATTAAGGCTGTGAGGTCTATCGATACCCACGCTACGTCAATTTTTAAAGACCCAAATGTTGCAAAACACTTGTCCTACCTCCAAATATGTTGTTGTCCCCGCAGATAAAGCCCCAAACAACATCGTTTTTGTGTGTAAATATCATTACATAAACTGCTTGATAAATAAATTAGGTATTGACAATTCACTTGGAAACTCAACATATATCCTCACGACGCTTACCAAAGAGGAAATCCTGGATAATCATAGGTCTGTTCTATGTTCCTTTGGAATTTCAACCAAAGGTGAAGAACTAGATCTTCCATCACTGTATTGGATATCTAAACTACTAAAGTGTTCTTACAAAGAACAGTATATTGCTGGGTCTTCCAAGTGCTCCACGACACCTCTATTTTATCAGCAATCAAAGCTGGGCTCCAAAGTTATTGTGAAACTGCCTATTCTAGAGGTGGCGTGAATCAGATGTGGATACTAAAAAATTCCAAAGATCTTTTAGAGTACATACAATCTAAGACTCTCATCTTGCAATAGTATTAAAACATTTGACTTTTCTACACTTTACACAAGTATTCCCCATTCCAAACTAAAAGACAAATTGAAAGAGTTGGTATTACTTTGTTTCATTAAAAAGAATGGCGAACGTAGATACAAGTATCTTGTCTTGGGGAGGGATAAATCCTACTTTGTAAAGAATCACTTTGATTCAAACAAAAAATTCTCTGAAACTGACATTATCAAGATGCTTGATTTCTTGATTGACAACATACGTTTGAAGGACGTGTTTTTCAACAAAATGTCGGAATTCCAATGGGAACCAATTGTGCCCCTCTTCTTGCCGACTTGTTTCTTTATTATTATGAGGCTGACTTCATACAGGAACTTCTCAGGAAGAAAGATAAGATGTTACCAATATCCTTTAACTTTACGTTCCGCTATATAGATGATGTTGTCTCACTAAATAATACAAAATTCGGTGACTATGTTGAACGAATCTATCCCATCGAACTAGAGATAAAGGATACTACAGATACAGTTAAGTCTGCCTCATATCTTGACTTACATCTAAAAATTGACAATGAGGGTCGGTTGAAAACAAAACTTTACGACAAAAGAGATGATTTTAGCTTCCCAATTGTGAACTTTCCATTCCTATGTAGCAATATTCCAGCAGCGCCTGCATACGGAGTATATATCTCCCAATTGATACGATATTCCCGGGCTTGTATTTCCTATCATGATTTCCTTGATAGAGGATTGCTGCTCACAAGGAAGCTATTAAACCAAGAGTTCCAAATAATGAAGTTGAAATCATCCCTTCGTAAATTTTACGGACGCCATCACGAGTTGGTTGACCGTTATGGAATAGCCGTTTCACAGACGATATCGGATATGTTCCTTATGTCGTAACTACAATACCCTTCCCTTTTCACGAATGTGACCTACCGAATTAGACTATTTACCGGATTTGTAATAACATAAGCAACACGACGGGTGCCACGTGTGAAGCAGGATCTACTTACCCTTCCGGAGCACCTGAGATCACCCCCAGTTTTTGGTGGGGTTCGTGTTGCTTAGTCTTTAGTTTTCTATGTTGTGTCATCTGTACTATTATTTGTCTGTTTGTCTTTTTATTTTTGGCCATGGCGTTGTCAGTTTGTTTTCGATCTATGAGTTTGATTGTCCCTCTGGTATCTTTCGTCCCTCTTTTAATCTACTTTTCCATTTTCAAATTACGTTTGCAACACTTAAACTGTATACTAGTAGTTAAATGACATAATATAGCGCACGTGTACTGAAAGCCATAATTTGGAAGGAAATATGCAACGAATCAATGAATAAGCAGTATAAGGAAATCTTTATGCACCCAGATTGAGCATTCTCTTAATGATCCCACATCAACATTTCCAGTTCAATCTTTTATGTTACAGACCAGTTGTGGTTAAGTAGACTCTCAATTTCCCTCGTGTTACTCCATTCGTTGAATGTACACAGTTTTCATCAGGGTCTCGTCAATCAGTAAAAATTATGTCAGGATCTTTGCATAAGAATGAGAAGTACACATACTGTAACCTCATGGAAATGTCTTGTTCATGATGCATGAAAGCCTCTAAAACAGAATCTGCTGTTCATGAAGTACTATGTTTCCTTGATTGAACACTTGTTCAACTAATCAATCACATAAGATTCTCAAGGATACAATTTCTATATGAAGACCTCAATCAAAAACATTCTTTGTTCTGCTAGAAATATGTTTGCCGAGTTCCACTGTTTCGCTTTTGCAAAAGCGAAAAAACAAAAAAAAAACAAAAAACGATTGGTCACAAGTGATAATTGATACATGTCCCTGGAAAAAAAATAACACATTGTTGAATTGTATTAATGGAATGTCGAATCATTTTGATAGATTTGATCTCTTCCTGAAACATTGGTCAATGCGGACTGATATATAAAGGCGGATGACCATTTGTTTTGGCTCTACATTCATAAACTGTTGTCCAGACATATTTAATGTTTTCATTATCATCTGCTTCAAACCATCTGTGTTATCTTTCTGTTAACTTATTTATATCATGTAAGGATAGAGTTGCACAATTGACTAATTGTACCAGGTTGGCATACACGTATTTCATGTCCATAAAACGGTAATTATAAGATGCAAGTATGAAACGCATGGTTATATTTGGTAAGTATTAAGAAAATAAATTGTATCTCATTCTATAGTAATATATATATATATTATACTAAGTTTGAGCCATAATACGAACAGTTGTGCTGGCGCATAATATATTGGTTAAAGTACCAGAGTTTATAAGGGAAATGCATTTATTTTAAAGCATAAGGTTATGACGAATTTGACAAGTTAGACTTAGAAGATGCTGAATGTAACGATTCTATAGCCGTAGTTGAACTCTTGTTGTTGTCAATATTGTCCACGGTTGCTGCTGTAAAACCACCAAGGTTCGAGGGAGGAACCACATATTCAATGTTGATTGTTTCGAAGATGGAATATTCTAGTACTGTAGATACATGGATAATTGTATCATTCATAAACGACAAACGTAAACTGTACATTGTGGTCATTTAGTACCTCCTTTTGTGGTCCTATCATTCATAAGAAGGTCTATATAAATAAGATTGGTTAAGTTCAGTTGAATGTAATATTAAAAAAGAATAGAGAGAAAAAACCAGAAGTAACTTTGAAATGGATAGCGTCGTATTTGCCTCAATAGAGTAACTCGAATGCATCTGAATATTTGGCCGAAATATTATCATCTAATGTTTTAATGATTGTGGAAAAAACCTTTGCCTACATCATGTCTTTTTGAACTACCAGCATGTGCAGCTTTTTTCAAATACCGTTGTCATACAAACAGATTGTTGCGGTTGCTTATTTATATGCAACACCAAAATAATCATTAAACAGGATAGGCAAGCACCTGCCTTGTTAATGGCCTGGCAAGCCTGAGATTACTGCATTTTTTTCAGATCATTACTATGTCCTCTTCCAATTGATCATAAAGAAAACTGTTCAAATCGAGAAGTAAACATTCTAGTTGCGTCTAGCTTGAATATTGGAATAAAGCCAGTCTCTATACATGATCCCTCGTTGTTGACTACTGTTCTGCAAAATTGGTACCGTAGTTTTGTACCGTACATCTTATACCGGCCATCTTGCAAAAAGCCGCCATATTGAAATTTTAATTTGGGTCCATAGCTTTTAGTGTTTGAAGCACCCAGCACTAATAAAATGACATATTTGAACTAATATAAGGGATATTTGTTGATTTTGATATTTTGTGGCGGCCATTTTGGAAAAATGCCGCCATATTTGAATTTCAAGGTGGGTTCACAGCTTATATTTTGAAATACCCAGCACTACTGCCATGCCTAATTTGAGCTTAAATGTGACCTTATAGAAGTGATATATGTTGATTTTGATATTTTATGGCGGCCATCTTGGAAATAGCCGCCACATTGAAATTTCAAGGTGGATCCATAGCTTATATTACTTGACACACCCAAAACTACTACCATGCCAAATTTGGTGCTTTTATCATCGAACCCACAATTTTTTCACCAATCTGCCGGACTACCAGTCTGTTTTTTATTTTTTATTTGCCATTTTTAGCTCATATGCATCTTTTATTTATGTATTAAGCGAACAAAATTTCAGTCCTGGGCTATCTCACATACATGCCTGATGATATTTACATTGGTAAACGAGACCATAGGTTTTTTTTTTATTATTTTACTTAAACAGTGTTAAATCATTTTCTTTTTAGACATCATAATATCGATTAATAGCACTTCTGCAGACAATAACCTGAAAATTACAAAAGTTGACATGACTTTTTACTGTGATTCACAGTTTAATATGCATATTATATAATCTTACGTATTTTTCATCTTCGGTTACCATGGCAACTGAAATAGACATTTCAAAAAGAAAGAAAATTAAAATCCGTAAATAACAGTACTACAATACATTGGAATACATTGGATAGTCTAAAGAGTATCTTATTTACAAAAACAAATTCCAGTTTTAAATAAATGATATTGGATTGAAGATTCAAATAAGAAAATTCAGCGACACAGAATAAATTAGATATAAGAAGATGTAGTATGAGTGCCAATGACACAACTCTCCATCCAAGTCACAATTTGTAAAAGTAAACCATTATAAGGCAAAGTACGGCATTCAACCTGGAGCCTTGGCTCACACCGAACCACAAACTATAAAGGGCCCCAAATGACTGGTGTAAAACCATTCAAACAGGAAAACCAACGGTCTAATCTATATAAAAAACGAGAAACGGGAAACACATCTGACTTTTCGTAAGCTGTTTTGAAACAAATTTAACATACTGAGTTGGTTGAACATTCACAAGTATAAAAGGAAGAGATAAATGTACCAAAAGGACACTTTCAGGGTATTTTTGTTTTTGACTTCTTTTCAGGTTCTAGCTAAAATTAATAAAGAATGTAGCACTTAAGAGTGGCTGGGAAGGTTAACCATGTTAAACATATGAAAAAACTATAATTGCATACTCTGAATTACTTACATTTACATGGGTTAATATTATGAATTATTTGTAAAATTACCAGTTATTAATCATACAATAAAAAGTAAAGCAACAACAATACCGAAATATAAGGAAAGAAATCACTTGCAATTACTTGAAATTAATATTTAAACATTACTTGTTTAACTATTACCAAATTACCCAACGGTATAACTTAAAATTACTCAAAATGATACTTGTAATTACTATAATATTAATAATTAGAAATTACTAAATTTGATTATTCAAATTTACCTTTTAGTAAATGGATTACTACACTCAATACATGCAATATGAAAAAATAAGATGTGGTATGATTGCCAATGAGACAGTTATTCGGCACCAGATTCCATTAACGTTAACATTAAGGATTCAAAGTATTTTTGCAAGCCTATAAAGGACAGCATCGATTCGTTTGTGACAAAGCTATCAAGAATTTTTTCTCGAGTTCACCAGTTTGTATTTGCATTTATTAACCAAGGCTTAACAATACATAATAACTTGTCCATGTAATACGTTTCCATGTGTCTGAGAGCTGGTCATTTATACAAGTCTAATACAGAAAAGCCGGTTCATACAGATTTTTTACTGGTCTTAATACAGGATTTTAACTTCCGGTTTTTGGTTCAAAAAGGTGTCAGAAAATGAATGTGTGTATTATGCGAAATATTATATTTCAACATGCTTGATGTTAAGAGTTGTTGTTATGTTTCATATGATATACTACATTTTTCTTTGAGTAGGAAGGTAGAAAGTGTGAATATCCAGAGTTGTCAACAATAGACGATTATTTGTCTGAGGGCGCAGTCCGAAATGAGAGAAGTTTGTAGGGTTGACACTCTCGGATAAGCACCGCATAAATTATAATTGGACAAATTTGTTTAATTTTACCAAAGGGCCTTCAAACCATTGAAAATACATGTTAAATAAGCTCTTGTAAATGTCATCCTGTAGTAAAAAATAATTTGTCAAAACACTTATCAGTCAGAGAATTTTTTTTTTACTAAAAATGCTGCAGATGCACAACAAATGAAGACTCTTTCCGTAAAGTATTGGTGGTTCTGAAAAGGGCCGTTTGTGTAATCTATCCTCGGCACCAGGTAGATATCAAATGCTTGTTTCTTCGTCTCTCCAGTCCACGGACCAATTCTTACCTGGACGTTGCCATTTTGTTTACATATACGTCAGTTACATCATTTTGATAGGAGATAATTCGTGTTAAAATCGAGCGGCTCAAAGTTTTTTTTATCGGTGAATACAAGGGTAATTCATAGCACATCACTATTTTTTGGTGGTTATTCAACATTCCTTGCATTAAAATGATAAATACCCCAAATAGTTCATATTGATCCTGTATGGGTCTTCTTACAGTCGTGTTTATCCTCAGTCAGCTTTTGGTGGTTATTTTAAATCATTGGTTAATAAAGGTGTCATAAAATGGGTGTTTTCATATTAATCCTGTATTATGTCCTCATACAGTCGTATTTGGTCGAGGTTAGTTGTATTGGCTCGAGGTGGAGCTTGAACATAATACAGAATTAATATGAAAACACCCATTTAATAACACTATAAAACTATCAAAACACAACCTGGATAAATGACTTTTAGTTTAAGCTAAAATACGAAATGAAGGCTAGGTGATATCAACACTGACAGGTTATAAGAAAAGTGTGCTAAAAATCCGATATAAGTAATTCATGTATCGTACCCGGAAACAAAGATAATTTACAGACGGACTGACGAGTGGGTAAAACAATTCCAATCGGTATTTCGGAACTCAGGATACAAAAAACAACAAAGTTGTGTTTGGATTGTTTGTTCTATTGCACAAAATACACAATTTGGATATGTGCTATTATACTTTTGAATCAAGGGGTTAGGTTATGTAAGTTTGCACTCACTGTAAATTATGTGTATGAAGTTCTCATACAAGCTTTACACATATATGTATTTCTTCATACATGCACACATGTGCAAATCAGTTTGAAAATGCCGAATTTCCAGTGGTAACAATTAAAAAGTATTCTATTTTTAATTGTCGACAAATCAACAGTTTTACATTAAAGTCAAAGTTCAAATGCACTGTTTAACAAAATAAAAAATAAAAACTAGTTAACATTAGATTATTCATACAAATTTGTGACATACGAAAGAGAGGAGGGATACAACAAAGTAATATTTAAACGCCAAAAAAAAAAAGAAAAACAAACTAACAACGCCTTTGCAAACAACGAAAAACGACCAAAACACAAACAACAGTCTACATAAAACAACAAAACTAAAGACTGCGTAACACTTAACCTCCCACAAAACCTGGGTGATTGTTAGAAAAGTATGAAAATAGGAATTTTACTCGTTGAAAACTCAACACATAGGACTTTTCGGGGTTTCCTTAATTGTTGAAAATAAAATGATACATGGTATTCCAAAAAATTTGACTACATCTGCGAAACGTCACAGCTTCAAAACGAGATATAAGTGTATTAAGGTTAACTTAATGGACACAGTAATAAAATAAAATGCTTTAATTACCGCTCATTTATAATATATTACGCGTACACCCGAATGATACCGACTCAAACGTTACAAAATGTTTAACTTTCCTTGTGTCTCTTTTGGCATTGTATACTACACGAACCTTCATGTTTAGTGTGTACTTCTAAGACAAAAACATTCTTTTTTTATTATTCCAAAGGAAAACGAGAAACAAATGCTTGTGTTTCAGTTTACCTTGTGTCATAAAAAGAAAAGAAACATCAATTTGCAGAAACTTATAATTGATGAATGATGGTTTGTTTGAATATGACATACCTCCAATAACCACATAACATATCAAAGCTTCGAAGTCAAAATTACTTTGCACATCAGTAATGGTCGATATTTTTTCATGGTTCTCAAAATTCATGACATTAGTGGTGTTTTCTTTAGATATTGATTTTTTGGCATTCCATGGTGTCTTTAAGTTTGTCTTATATTCAGTTCTTTTGCGATCCTTATATTCAGTTGTTAAAACGTTAACGTCTAAACTTTTTTTCTATGGAAAAAAAATAAAGAAAAAATAATTGTCATTCCAAATGTTGGATAAATTATTGTGTTATTTATTTGTAAATGCTTTCAACAAACAAATTTTTTCTGAACTATATTTATTTTATATATCATATGTATAAAGTTAGGAATGATTACTTTTAAAGGTTCATCCAATGCAGCTAAAATATCTGTAATAAATTACAAACAAAAGACAGTTGTACGGGTGTAAAGGGATTCGGGAAAAAATGAAGAAGAAAAATTTACCTTACTGAGACTGTCCTGAAAATATTATTAATTATTTTGTAAGTCATCGCTTTATTGTTCAAATGACTCAAAACATAACAATGTATTGCAAATGTACCTTAAATTGCAGAATTGGAATCCACGAACGGACAGCACTGCCATTGCATTCTTTTATTAATCCACAATTGTTTAAGGAAACCATAACGGGCAACACCTTTTCACCTAACACATCTGCAATTAAAATACAATTATACTTCACGGATGTTATACAAAATAACCAGATATACCAGACTTTTAATAGTGTATGCCTGGCGCGTGTTCCACCTTCAAAACTCATCCTTTGCGCTCAAATTAAAACAGATGAAATGACAATATCCATAAATAAATTGTGGTGAATTGAAAATGTTCTAAATCTGGCTCCCATTCATACCCGGGGAGTAAAAATTTGAATGATATGATAAGTAAATAATAATAAAAAGCATGTATCAAATAAATTTCATGTCTGCATATATAGAAATGTTGACGACTGGGCTGATGAAACCATCTTAGCAAGAATGTTCGTCAGCAGTGGCGTATCATAAGTGTATTTTTGAGTTCCAAAAAATTGTGCTTAGTGCTAAAGTAATGTATTACTGATGTTAAAAAATCTTAGCATTTCGAAAGATTAAACTTTTTGAACAATAATTTACAAAATTCAGGTATCAGTTATATTTCATGTCAGCAGAGGATTGCTAATTACTTGACTAATGAAATCGTCGAGGACGAAAATTCACTGGTAGTAACATCGTGCATGGTGGCATTGTCATAAGCGTAAAATAAGTGTCGGTTTGATTCGTGGTCATTGATTCAATATCGGACCATGTCAAACTAAAATCGTCAAAGTCCTTTTGTAGTATATGTCGTCTTAATACACAGTATTTTGCAATACGATTTAATACTAGTCGATTCACAGTCCAAAATAATGCACTGATTGTGTGCATTCAAACATTCAACAGAAGATCATGAAATATAGGTATACTTACGTTCTGCCATTCTAATGAAATAATCAACTTCATTTTCTTCTTGATCGGTATATCCTCTTTGGAAAACAAGAAATCCTTTCCTTACTAGAGCCTATTCATACATAAGATTTTCTTTAGTTCAGTATAAAAACTAAACATTCTCACAGATAAAAAGTGAGAAACAAAAATGTTTAATATAACAAGATATACAATAACTGTTTTCATATGATTGAAATATTCACTTCATACATTGTACGATGGCAATATCCATTCTATTATACCGAAACAGCCTTTAAGAATAATAATGAGCGGTTAATAAAAAATAAACAATTGTTTAAGCTATTTTAGAAATCGTTTGGAACTGCGAAATTCTGTAAAACCATTTTACGTGTACCATGGTTAAAATACAATACGAACATCTCCATTCCAATGCAAAATAGGCTTAACATTGGACATTTCAATAAGTGGTCAGGTGTTAATATCACACAGATGAAAAATTCCGCAAAATGTTGTTCTCATCTTGTGCACGTCTAGAATCGTACTTGATAATAGTCAGAAAGTTGAATGAACATGAAAAAAAATATTTCAACAGCTAAATCCTAAAAAGCAGGTTATTCCCAAATTCAAAATCATTGTGTCTTGGAGGTATGCTTCAAAGGATAATTATGACTATGAACAGACATAAGTTAATTTTTATGTTTGTTTAATTTTTTAGTCAGTTGTGTTGTATGTCTGTAATGTATGTTTACACAGTTTTAACTGCTGGATCCCAATTACTGGCACATTAACCTGATTATGTTTGTTTGAGTTGTTCACCAAATTTTGTCAATAAACAGGAACTATAAACCACATGTCATACACATGAAGCGTTTAGCTAGCTATAAAACCAGATTTAACTCACCATTTCCTTCGGAAAATGCCTGTACCAAGTCAGGAATATGGCAGTTGTTTTTTCCTGGTTTCGATAAATGATAGATTATGATTTTGACAGTTTTTATAGACTTCCCATTAATAAAAATATTTAGCTAACTTGAGTAGTTGCTTTCTAATTGTGAAACATTTATAACAACTCAAAGCCACGGTGTTACATATTTTGTCATGACCACACAAAAGAAGACAAATATATGTGTTTTTGTAACTTACAGAATATAAAATAAGTTGTCGATGTGATCGAATGCTGATCATTCCATAAGAAAACAAAATGGTATCTTTAATTGCCATTAAAGAACAAAATTTCCAAATTCGTATAATGTTCACTTATATTTGTATAACTACTCTGATCAATGGTGAAATTGATGAAAAGCTTTCTAATATCAAAAATCTTAACAATAAATAAATACTTCATTTTGAACTAAATTATCAAAAATCTTAACATCAGTTAAATAATCTCTTTTGAAAAAAATCTTTATATTCCAAATAAGGTCATGATTTAATCTTATTCACTGCAGCATTCTGTTGAAGATTATCATTCCAATATTTTATATATCTTTCAATCGAAATATCTTTAATCACATTGAGATATCGAATGTCTAAAGCCAATTGTTGTGAAATAAGAACCAATATTCTGTTTGAATACAATTCATATAAATGCTACATATACAAATTTGACATAACACTTTACACTCATTCATGTCTTTGATTATACAGGAACAAATTTAAAACTTATTTTGTCAAGGAAGTTGGAACTTTATTTATTAAAACTGACAATTTTCTTTACTTATGCATATTAATGTGTGTGTCCTTTATATTAATCGATTATTCCTGAGTTATCAAACTAACGGATATATGATACCGGAATTTCATTTTTCAATATTAAGATCAAATGATGCCAGTGTTAATCGATCCTTTCACAACCAAGTTTTTAAACTTACAAATATACACAGATTGTTATATCTTATAACGGATTTGTTTTTGATTAAAACATGTAGTATACACATGAATGTATATTTTCGTAATCTGTTTGAATTTTAATAGTGTAACCAAAACATTTTCTCTGTTCTATTACAGGAAGATCAGGGGATATTTATAATCCAATCAACTTTTATGCAGATTGCTTATATGGAAAAAAATCATTTTTGTTATATGTTAATAATTTATACAAAACAGTTTTGATCTCAAGTTAACTAAGCGCAGAGCAGAGCAGATTCAAAGTTAATTTAGAACAAGCCTGGTTCAATCTGAACTTTCCGAATCGAAGATAAATTATGTGCAGCATAGATTTCGGAGTTTATTTCAGTCAAGTCGCGGACATGTCTAAAGACCTGACTTTGGTCCTAAGACCGGTCGGACCAGTCATAATATCTGTCGCATTTAATTTATTTTGGTCAGTAAAATGTCTGGTAATCAAGATAAACTGATGTACAAGTCATGACATCACCCAACTGAATATATAACTTAGTTGACCTTGTGAACTTAAACATGGGGCACAGCGCAGGCGGTTTGTTTTTTCAGATGGAAGGATAGATTTTGTTATTGAAAAAATCCGACAAAGTATTCATCAACCGTTTTAGGCCATCCGTTTTTGAATCATTGATTCCTTCACCATATGACTTGAATAGGGAAAAGACGTGTTAACGATATGAAATATGTTGAAAATATATACAGTAGTGGCAGTAATGTTATGAAAAAAAACCGTTTCTGTCGTACAAATGAGAGACTGCTGTCTCATCAACTCATTAAGAAGATGAAAATTACACAAGTTACAGCACAAAACACAATTTGAGTAATTTGCATGAATTCCAAAAGGAACGAGACCTAGTGCGTTGACAGGGTAAGCGTCTCTCGCTGTGCATGCATACTCCACCATTCGAGTCCACATGCAGTAACAATGTCACAATCAGGAATAGGAAACAATCTTTAAACTTACAGATCGGGCGACTATTCTGGTAACAAATTATATGAAGACTTTAGACTATGAAAATGTGTCGCTATTGAGATGATACACAGACACGACGTATAGTATCGGTTAACAAATAAGTTATTATGACATCAAAACGTATGAAATGTTGGTTTCAATCGTTCTATCTCATAAATCTTTTGGAGCAATGTCTGTGTCAGAAGAACACCAAAGTTAATAAATAAACATAGATACTCAGATTAACATTTTGAACGCCAGACGCGCGTTTCATCTACAAAAGACTTATCAGTCACGCTCCAATAAAAAGATTTAAAAAGACAGCATACAGTACGAAGTTCGTATGGTGTGAAGGTAACCAATAATAACGGAAAAAATAACAAAAGAAGATAATAAGCTGTCGACGATTAGAAAGATATAAATGAACATTATAAGTTCGACAATCTGTTGTCTAGATTTAGCAAAATATTAACAAGTACAACACTCCGGTATAATAGTAATCAACTGCTTTGATTAAAATTATCCAAATTATCTTTTCATAACAGTAAAGATATTTTCTGGACATGTATACCTTACGCCTTTGAATATCGATTGATAGTGTGAATCATTTTCGAAAAATTTATCTGAAATAAATTGTCTACACAAAATGCACAAGTTTGGTTTGGTATGGTAATTCAATTCATCAACTGATTTGCTATTTATAAAATAAGTTACCCTAATTGTCTCTTTACTAGTAGTATGGTGAATAAATACAGCATTTGAAGAACCATGATGAAATAAAACCTTCTGTCAAACAACATGGCATGGCAGTTCTGTTTTTTCTATTAGAAGAGGATTGCAGATTATACTTATTTGAATCCTTTTTCAACTTCGCGTACAGTTGTTTTTCAAACAAACTAGATAACTATAAAACACGTATTCAAATCACCTTCACTATAGAAAGAAGTCTTTAGTTTTCAACGTTATGTTCAGAAGACTGCTGAATGTCTTTTTTGGTCGATTTTCGTTTTTTTTTTTTTTGTCATTTCGTTGTCAATTTGCTTTGACTTGTAGTTTGACTTTCCTTTGGTATTATCATTATTTGAAACATTGTTTCGCTATATCAATCAATCAAATTAATTTCATAAATGTTAAATGACATGTTTTTGCGATATGTGTACGTTAAGAATAAGATTTTAAAAAGGTTGTGACGTATTTTGTTTTACACAAAATACATTTATAAAATAGTAAAAACTAATTTGTATGTTCTTAAGTACTAACATTTTGAATATTGCTTTTCTAACATTTTAAGAAAAAGAAATACGTTTTATGTCAAATAGAAATCTTTTTTAGGGGAAAAAGGGGGGGTGGGAGTTTTTGTTGGACTCATTGGTGAATGTTAAAAATAATTTCAATTGCGCCATTTCGTTTTTACTTCCATATTCTTGAGCAATGTTTTTAGACAACGAACGGGCACACGTGTGACTCTGATAGGAGAAAATGCAATCTAATTTATAGTTCACCTAGACCGGATGACCTTCTAAGCTGAAGTCATCGCGAGAACCTTGCGGTGACAGTCGTTTATCGTCTGTCATCGTTAACATTTGAAACAAATCTTCTCTGACTGTACTAAATGAAATTTCCAGTTTAGTCATTATAGCAATACTTGCTTAAAATCTGGTTAAGTAAAGTTGCATATATAACACACTTTACCATTGCTTTTTTGTGTGAAAACTGTTGTCATTGGGAGAAATTGTGAAGAGGTTAACTAAAACAAGGGAGTATCTACAAATAATTTGATCGGAAGTATTCATCAATTGACTCCTTTTAGAAAATGTTGCCCGTTAATGAGCCGCTTTACATATTTTTGTTTTCATTGTAGCTTTCGATGATTTTCATTTGCTTTTATTTATGTATATTTTAAAAAGGCAAATTCAGGCAATTTTGAAAAAATTCAGTAATTCAACTATACCATCGACAGATTTTTTAGTAAAAATAACAGAAGACACATACTAAGTAAATGTCTGCTTAGTATGCTTACACAGGTTTTTTACTATTTTTTCGACGTATCAGTTTTTTTGGAGTGCCTGTAAAAACCTTAGATTTGTTTACCAGCTTTATATAAACATACAAATAAACGAGATTAGAAAGCCTCTTCATGGGGTTTTTGATTATATGATTACTTTGCTGTTTTTATAGTGATTATTTGAATACCAGATCAAATATTTCATGATTATTTAATAATCTAGGACTGTATTTTTGATTATTTGATT